GGATGATGAAAAGTAAGTAAAACTCTTGTAGTGGTCTGAACATTAGTTCTCTTTTAACTCTTTCATTCCACAAAACATACTTGTAAGTCTTTTTAAAATTAGGCCCCGCCTACCAAGGACGTACTTGTACGTCTTAAGTCTTTTTTTTTTTTTTTTTTTTTGCTTCATAGAGAGGAGGGGGGTCTGATGCAATCTGTGAATGAGAATAAGCCAGTTGGTTTGTAAATCATGTAAAAAAGCAACCAGTAGGTGGCAGTGGTGCCTCACATGCTTGAAATGCATGCTTTACGAAAAGCTCTTTTTCTCCGTTTTTTTTTTTTTTTTTTTTTTTTTTTCACAGGAATCGCCATTTTCATGAAACTTAGCCATTTTGTAATGCCGATTGCTGAAGAATGGAGAAAGATAGAAACAATTTTTTTTTCTGCTGAAAGAAGAGAGTCCAAACTTTATTTTGGTGGGCTCCATGTTTATATAGCATTAGAACCAAATATTCTGTGGGCCTTGCAAGATCAGTCAAAATCCAGTAAAACACTGGGATTGAGGGGGTTGCTCCAGTGAAAATGGCTGGGATTGAATGAGTTAAGTGTAAAAATAAAAATGAGTCACTTTGAAAACTTTGCTTTCTGTATGAGGCCATGGAAACTTTGTGTGGGGTCATGTGAGTGACAACCTGCATTTGTTTGATTTTTTTTTTTTTTTTTTTTTTTTACTCAAGCAAGCTACTCTGACAAGTCAAATTTACCTCCAAATTGACTTTGACCTCCGGCTCTCTCAACAGTGGCCGCCATCATCCGCGTGGAGGACGAGGCCACCGGAGAGGTGGATGACATCATCGTGAAAAAGGAAGTGGGCGCCGAGCAAGATGAAAATGAAGAGGAGGGGGCCACACAGGAAGTGGTCGTCGGCGAAGGTGACTCCACTATCCAGCTGGAAGAGCTGTCCCAGGAGGAACAGGAGATGCAGCTGTCGGAGGCCCCACCAAACGGAGACCTCACCCCCGAGATGATACTCAGCATGATGGACCGGTGATGGACGCAAGGCTTGAACCTGTAAAACACACACGCAGATCCCTCCCCCTTCACAGCAACATCTAATTCTTGGCATTTAGGGTTACAAACACTTTACGCATCCTTCATAGACAAAAGATCGCTGTTGTAATTTAAGGCTTGCTTTTTAATCTTACATTGACATGGAGGAGTGATAAAGACTTTTAATACGGATTTATTCCCCCTCGACCCCCCCAAAAAAACTTTTATTTTGAAAATTTCTGTCCGGGGCTGGCTGTAATTGGCCACAGTATCTCAAGCCTTCTCATTGTTGTCCTTGATGTTTAGAGCATTTGTAGGAAATAGGTACATCACAATTTAATAAATCTACTCTGGCAACACTATCAAAGATTTCTTTCCCCTGAATTCAGATGTGCATGTATCTATCCAAAGGATCATGGTGCGTAGTCCTCTTTTGAGACACTGAAGCCCAATTTTTATCTCTTGTGTATTTTATTATTACTTTTTTTTTTTTTTTTTTTTACTTGGTACATACTTTATTGTTGGGAAGGATCAATCACGTCGTGTGAACATTGTAAGTACATAAATCACCCCAGTCATGGATCGTTCTGCACTTTTTCAATTCTTGTTCAATGTCCTTGCTGAAGAGCCTCTCTCGGTTGGGAAGACTGCTCCCCAAAAGCCATCTTTTGAATCGGCTTTTCAGTTTCACTTAAGCCTGCCGTTAGCCCCTGGAGATAAAATATTACTGTCTGCAGACCAGAAAATGTTATTGTTGGTAATTACAGCTAAAAAAATGATTTGGGATATTTTTTTATTGTATTTTTTATTTTGTTTCTTTGCTGTGGTTAGTAAAACCCTATTTTAACACTTATTCTAGTTTATCAAAGCTTCTAGAATGCTTACTTTATATCTTCCCTTGCTACTGTAACATCCCTAGATGATGCATAATGTACAAAACATCATTTATGTGCAAAGAAAAGGTTTGGGTTGTTTTGCTCCTTTGTGTAGCCATTCCACTTGAGTTCATGATTTCTTTTTTTGTACCGATTGCAATACTTTCTGGGCAGTGTGATGTTGAAAATGACAGGCAGTTGAGAACAGATGTATGATGGTACAACCAATAAAAAGTAGACATGGACTCATGTTTTAGGTTTGTGCAGTTGTATGTCAGAAAAGTGTTCTGTGCATTCTTGGTACAATGGAAGGCAGTGCTTTTGATTATTGACATTGGCTGAGCACTAACACAAACACTTGTGTATTTTGCTTGCAAATATATTTTATTAAATGGAGGACTTCATACTAAAACTCAGTTCATTTATCTGTTGACCACAAGTATTTTACTAAATGACCAATGAAAGATTGGGCAAGGTAAGTGTATTTCTCAATTGCAAGTTGATACAAAATCGTTCCAGAAATACAATTTAGTCATGTAGCTTAAATGCAATACAGTTTGCAAATAGCCTTAATAATGATCCATTTTGAAATATTTAGGTGGGTGCAATTTAAACTTTCATTAGCAAACCTGTGTAATTGTTTAGTTAATAGTGATTACAAACTGTACATCAAACACTTGAGCATATCTTGGCTCATGGTTTATTAAAGAAATAAAGTTAACTGTAGATACATGCTTGTGTGAGATGAGGTTCACCCTTACAATTGCCACTGCAGTTTTTCTGTATGGCTCATTTAGTTATGCACTGAAGGCAAGTGCATACTTGTTAATTTTTGCGTTGGGGGATGAACAGTTAAAATGCATTACAAAAAAAGAATGGCATTAAATGCATGATTTGCCTTTGTTTTAATATGGATTTGAATAATAGTTGTACATTAATTTGAGGTGATTGTATGTAATAATCTCCCAGTTTAATGGTCAAATACGGGTTGCATAATATTTCCCTCAGTATTGCAATTGCTAAATTGTATGCATGTGTAATTGCGTTTAAAATGATTGAAACGTATCTAATGTAGTGGAAAGTATCAGTTCTGTTTATCGGGAAGTGTGCCACGTTTCCCCGCCATCCAGCCGCACTCCGCCGCCTGACTTGGACCAACTTGGCCCTGGAGCGGCTACTGTACCTGGAGGTTGGCCGAACGGAACCTACAGCCTTCAACGACGACACCCTTGAAGAACTGCCGCATTTGTGGACCCGTTAGAGGCTTCATCGGCCGTGGAAACCCCGCGTCTGCTTTTTATTTCCGTTTGGACTCAGCCGTGGAATCTTCAACTGACGAGAAGCAAATTCAGTGACAGAGTGAGGGACATCCTTGTTGCCACAGCAACAAGCGGATATTCACTTTCCGGGAGGAGGGGCTCTATTTCAACTTAAAAGACGTTTGGTTTTTTTTTTTTCTTTTTTTTTCGGCAGTGCTACTTCACACTGTAAGGAATCTGTATTTACAAATGTAGTTGTCTTGCTACACCGTGCTGCTGTACACTAAGAAAGAGTTATCTTCTAAGCGGTAAACTGTTGTATTTGCTTTTGGTTTTGCTTGAAACAGACCAGAAACTGCACATTTCCACATATTATCTGTATATATGTTAAGTATTGAAGATTAATTGTCAGGTATTTTACTTACTGGCAGCCAGCATTCCTTTCGCAGCATGTGTACGATCGTGTTTATTCTTTGCCGTGGTCATATGATTTTTATTAAGTGACGTAACACTGTTAACAATCTAGCCATTATCTGAAATGCTTCATCTTCACGAGGGTCGCGGCCGAGCTGGAGCCTATCCCAGCCGTCTTTGAGCAGTCGGCAGGGTACACCCTGAACTGGTTGCTAGCCAATTGCAGGGCACGCATAGATGAACAACCATCCACACTCACAATCACACTTAAGGACAATTTAGGGTAAACAATTAACCTATGCTGCACGTTTTTAGAATGTGGGAGGTAACCCCACACATCCACGGGGTTACATGAAAACTCCACACAGGAAGGCCGGATCCGGGAATCAAATTCTGGACCTCTGTACTGCAAGGTGGACGTGTTAACCAGTTGACCACAGTGCCACCCCGTTTATTTTACTGTATTGTATTTAATAAAAACATGCAGTTATGACCTAATTGAATAATGGATGGAATTGAATAGTTGTTGATACATTTTTGTTTTATACAATGGATATTGTCCTGCTCCTTCTGATGTACGTGCCTTGGCCACCAGGGGGTAGTATAATACAGACAAAGATGTACATGGAGCTGCACATCCTTAGTCCTTAGCTCCATAGTAAATTACAGTACTGTACAGTATTCGTTTTTTCAAACAATAAATTATGCCACTGAGTGTTGTTTTATTTTCTATCTATATGTGTCGAAATGGAATTGTATCTTAGTTCAGTCCCCCCCCCCCCCCCCACAAAATGTTTACATTTTTACCTAGGACATTTTGACTTTATTCCTGTAAAATTATACATTTCAGATATTTTTCTTTTTGATTTTTTTTTTAATTTCTTGTCATAAAATTATTTGATATTTCTTGTAGTATTAAGTAGTAATGCTCAGATCGTTATTTTTTTCTTTCTTGTAATATTTTGACTTTATTCCTGTCAACCTCTAGGTGTTGTCTTTCTCCATATGAAAAACTTTGTCATACAATTCGTTTTTTTCTCATGACTTTGTTGATGTCGAATTTGACATTTTTCATGAAAGCGTGTACTTTAATTTTGGAAGTGATATCTTTTGTCTTGTAACATTTAAATCCTCAGGAATTCAAACGATCTCTGTTTTTTATAAGTATTCAAACCTGCTTCGCTCCTGGATTATACTGTTGGTCATTATAGTGGTAATATTTATTAGCAGTTTTGTTTCATGTACCCCTGTTTTTGCTTTATTTCACATCATGATTAAAACAAACAAAAAGTAAAATAAATAAATCACAACCAAAAGTGGTGAGGGCTATTTAACCTCCCCAAATCGTGATTGTCATGGTGAGCTTTTGTTTTGAAGTGAGCAACAGGAAGTCGATTTTTGGCGACTGCTCAACTCTGTGGACACAAAAAAACCCCAGCGAAATCGAGGAGAAGGACAGCGCCCAGAATAACTCTGAAGAAGTGTGTGGAGGAGCATCGTGTTGGACATGGGATTGCGGCCAAACTCCCCGGCCTGTCGGACTTCCAAAGAGAGGTAGGAGGAAGCCTGTTTTAATCACCAAGGTCACAAAACAAGGCGCCCGTTTAAGATTTCTCTCCATGGGCGACGCCAAGTCGCTTTCCTGGGATGTTGTCCGACTGATACCCGCCAGCTCGTCGTTCTTGTTTTTCTCCTTTTTTGGCTTTCTCGCTCCAGACGTGTTTATGTTTATTTCTCCACGAGCGATTATTTAGGCGTAAAGGCCGTATTTTGGCTCTGGTTCGTGGAATGTAAATCTGACTTCCAAGTTTTTCGCTGCTCGGGTCTACTCTCCATCCTCCGCCGAGAACCAAGTGAAGCGGCCCCGGCTGTGATACGACTCTGTTTATCCGACTATATGGCCCGCTGCCGCCGGGTTAGCTAATCCGCTAATCTCGAAGAGAGGAGGTTGAGTTTTTAATTGCAACGCCGCTACTCATCGTCACTGCTTTCTCCCAGAAATGGACTCAGCAGGCTGGACTACATCAATCGCGCTAGCCTTAGTCGAACAGCGGAAGAAAACAAGTCATTGTTATTGTTTGACTGCCATTTTAAGATGCTGGCGTCACAATTAGGGCTTGCAGTTTTCCATTTTACGTGTTTTTAATTGAATTCCTATTAAACTGTGAGTCATTACAAGTGCATTACACCACTTAACTAAATTGTCCATCCAAGTAAGTTTATCAAGTGTGTACTCTCACATTTTTATCTAAATGAGTGATTGGTAAACTAAGATAAGATAAGAAAACCTTTATTAGTCTCGCAATGGAGAAATTCCCACTTCACAGCAGCAAAGTTATGAAAGGAAGAAGTAGAACAACAAAATATAGGAGCTGCTGGAAAGGCAGCCACTCTTGCAGTGCCATCTTGAAGTCAAAATAACAAAAATAACACAACACAACACATAGGACACAGACAGTCGTGCAATCTTCACCACTTTCCTGCATACACTTTGTTGTCTGAAGCAGTTATAGATGAAAGAGGAGAGGATCAAGGTGTCCTTTCACCAGTGGATCAGAGACGTGTGGTATCGGAATGACTCCTCTTGAACAGTTCAGTTGTATTTCACTTTTAAATTCAACATATTTGCATGTCAATCTTGAAGAACTGTTCACTTCTATATATATTATTCAATTCGTGTGATTGATTAAATATTAATAAGGCGGCCCGGTGGTCCAGTGGCTAACGCGTCGACCTCACAATGCAGAGGTTCAATAACGGCTCCAGCCTACCTGTGTGGTGTTTACATGTTCTCCCCGGGCCTGCGTGGGTTTTCTCCGGGTACCCCGGTTTCCTCCCACATTCCAAATACATGCATGGCAGGCTGATTGAACACTCTAAATTGTCCCTAGGTGTGACTGTGACCGTGGATGGTTGTTTGTTTGTGTGTGCCCTGCGATTGGCTGGCAACCGGTTCAGGGTGTCCCCTGCCTACTGCCCGAAGATGGCTGGGATAGGCTCCAGCACCCCCCGTGAACCTTGTGAGGATAAGCGGATTGGAAAATGGATGGATGGATGAATCATTATACTGTATAAGTACAATTTTCCTTCAGTTATGCCGGTGCGAGACTAGAGTTGCTCAACTTGGCATGACAAATCATGCAGATAGGATGCTGAACCCAGTCTCATCACGATCTGTGATGCATGTGATTCCATGTTGTACAAATTCATCCGACCACTTTGTTTTTTTTTTTTTGTTTTTTTTGACATAGCATGTATTAAAACAAATCACAGGACGTACTATCACGACAGTCACACGTTGACTACTGAGCGAACTAAATTTCCTGCAGCACTGATTGGACAAGCAATGTAATGTGATCATCTGCAGCCAGTGATGGCCAAGAGGGAGTGTCATAACTAATTGACATGTTGAGTCAGGTGTGTCTTAACCTCCATGGCAGAGGCTCCATCGAACACCCTGAGACCGATTCACCAAACCCGTGGCGTTTGATCAAACCCAGGTTAAGAACCACTGGTCTAAATGATTGATCAAAGGAAGTCATGTCAGGATCAAGACGTAGTAACTATGTGGCAGCAACGACTTCATTTATGGTGCATCTGAGTAATTTTTCAAAAATGTTTTCATTTGACCAACAATATAGTTCACTGTATAAAAATCCCTATCTTATGGTTTGGAGTTGGGAAAAAGTTAATGATTCCAAACACAGCCAAGATATTGGTGTTGAGTGTCCTTTCAGACTTTTTAATATACACCTCCTATAATACATTTTAGAACATTGTCATTAATATGTCAGTCCAAACGAGCCAAAGCATTGTGTGGCTTGTGCGTGACGTTTTCTTGGAAAGAAAACTCCAGTCTTGTGAGTTGCTTTCAAACAGTGTCCTCTTTGTTTGCACCCCCCTTGCTTGGAGAGGATTAATGCAGCTAATGATCTGTAATGTAGGGAAAGGGATAAATGATCATCAAATTGAGAGGAAAACCCTCAGTGTTTGATTCTTTATATGGTACCGGTATGTACATTTGTGTGTGTGCGCACATTGGTATCTACTCAGAATCTGTTGTTTGCCTAAGAGTGTCAAAAGTGTTGCAGTTTTTTTTAAAAAAATTGTCTCAAACGTGTCACATGGTAGCATATGGCGCTTTTTCCGCTTTTTATTTTTAAACCCAATCCCGGACCCCCTCCTGTTAATCCTCCCAGTATGTCACCAAGATTAGTGCTTTGTCACTGAGGGACCCTCCTGCCTGCATTATGAGTTTTAAAGACAACAGTGCGTTCACAGATTTATCCGACAACAAATTTCTGCGTATGTACAGTGGAAGGTGATGTTTTTTTTCTTTTTTTTTTTTTAATTGATTGTATGCATTTTTAAATGTTTTTGGTTGTGAGTGGAAGTTAGAAAAATGCAGAACCACCACCAGTTGCTTGAGAGCCCTTGTTCATGCACAGAATCCACGTGTTAATGTGGGTTTGGTTCTTGCTTGACAGATTTAAGTCAAAGACTATAATCTCTTTTGTAACTAGTTTAGCTCAGGCACAACCCTCCTCCTGTAATAACCCTGATCACGGTATTCTGTACGTTTTTCTATAATTCCTGAGGGATTCTTCTTTTTTTGTAAACACACTCACCCACATTGCGGGAGTAGTTTTTAAATTCTCTGGCTAAGCGTCTGTGTAGAATTTCCTGTGCAGAGGCCGCTAGGAGACTTCCTGCTCTCGGCTGCTGCATGTGGATGTGGAGGTGGGAGGGGAGTTGCTGTAAGAGTATGGAAGGAAGACAATGAGAGACGAGCTGAAGCAGACTGCATGGTGGCCACTGTGGTCGCCGCAAATGTGTCATGTTGTGACTCAGCCAATTAAAAAAATTTCCAAGAGTGGAAGTGAAAGAGGTTTCTGTCTATCACTTTAATATAGTTATTTTTAACAACCCAACACCAATGAAGTTGGGACGTTGTGTTCACGTAAAGAAAAACAGAATACAGTGATTTGCAAATCATGTTCAACCTATATTCAATTGAATACACTACAAAGACAAGACATTTCCTGTTCAAACCAATAAACTTTTTTTTTTTTTTTTTAGCATATTTTATGGCTTCAACGCGTTCCCAAAAAGCTGAGACAGGCTCATGTTTACCACTGTGTTACCACTTTACTATAAGCGTTTGGGAACTGAAGACACTAATAGTTGAAGCTTTGTCGGTGGAATTCTTTTCCATTCTTCTTTGATGTACAGCTTCAGCTGTTCAGCAATCCGGGGTCTTTTGTTTTATGCTTCATAGTGCACCACACATTTTCAATGGGAGACAGGTCTGGACTGCAGGCACTCCAGTCTCGTAGCGGTACTCTTTTACTACAAAGGCCGGGGTGTTGTAAGATGTGCAGAATGTGGTTTGACTTTGTCTTGCTGAAATAAGCATTGGCATCTATGAAAAAGACATTGCTTGGATGGCAGCATATGTTTCTCCATAACCTGTACCTACCTTTCAGCATTAATGTATGTGAATGTATATGAATATTTTTATTTTGTCATAAGCAGACATTAATGCAAAATATGTAGCTGTCTTTGCCCACATGCAAGGGCAAAGACAGCTACATGTACCTTCACTGCTTAATTTTTTTGGTTTCACTTCAGTCGATCCGTGACTTATCTGAAGCTTCCTTTCCTCAAATTTTGTCTGGCAACACAAAACTAAAAATCGACCAAGCCACAACATGAAACTGGAAAAACTTTTAAATTGCGGCACTTGGAATTCAAGTTCCCACCGTACTTGCGTGATACGGTTGTTTTTCGTCAGGATCATCCTAAACTATAGTTTTCCCAACTACATTATGTTACCTTTTTGGAACCAACCCTTAATTTTGTATATAATTCTCATGGAAAGTTTCCAACTTAATGGGTTGTCAAAATTTCACACCCCTCGGTGCAGAGCTGGGACGGGCCTCTCACTTCAACTTTGTGCACCATTACAGGACATGTCCTTTGGTTTGTTAAAGCCCCAGTGCTACAGTCGGCCCTGCCAGCATGCTCCAGTAGTCATAGGACCCTTCAGTCAGCAGGTACCACCCTCCTTCTTCCTCTGGTGTGCTTTCTTTATGATAGTCTTATAGCAAAAATGAACATTGCCTCTGGGCTGCTCGCTCCCTCAGCGCTGTTTGATCCAAGAGAAACGTGCCTTGTAAGGAAGCAGGATGTTCACAGGCTCCACCAAGCTGCCCCCCGCCAAAACCCCCCAGCCCGAGCGGCTGGACGAGGTGTACGCCGCCTTACGCAGAGGCTTACAGTGAGTGCATATTTAGTATATAGAAACATTGGAACATCACTGAAACCCTTTATTATTGGCTGTTGTTAGGTCATACTTGCAGGTCCACCAGCTGGAGCTGGACACTCTAGGCCAGCAGATCCGAGAAAACAAGAGAAACGGTCGACTGGTGAGAGGTTGCCTATTCAAACAAGTCTTGCTGCTATCGAGTGGTGCCAGGCGGGATGCAATTTAGACTCTTTGTGATGCTAAATGTTTTATTTTCTTCCACAGGGCTCTTTGTATGAACAGGATAAGGTTGGTTTCTTTCACATCTGTTGTGTACATTCACTGGTCACAACTTTAAGTACACTTACACAATCTAATAAGATCCAATATAAGATCTGTATCAGAAAATATGTCCAAAAGAAAATAACGCTCAGTTTTGAGTGAAACTCTCGCAGCGGTACGAACGTGACAATATTCTTACTGTGGTTTGCAGTAGTATGGCACTACACACCTTAATGCCGAGAGCTGCTTCTGAAGGTAACCCTCATGTTTCAAAATACAGTTTATCCCAGCCCTGCCACAAATAGAGAACATCTGCAACTAACTGGCACCAACACAAAAAGGTTTGTCGGTACCACAAAATGGCGACAAAGCGCTTTTTCTATTAGGTAATCTATGGTCTGACTAAATTAAATTCTTCCTCAGAATCTAATGTAAATGCTTGCCAGAAAATGTCGCCAAAACACATTTTTTATGTTTTATGTCCTCAGCATAAAAGCAGCAAAAAGGTGACTTTAAGCAGATAACATATCGCACAAATAAATTTCCTGATTGGCACCTCAATGAAAGGCTGTGCCTGAAAAAAGGAGGTGTAGTTTTTGATTCTGCTGTTATGTTGGATCACATTAGATTCATGATGCAATATGGTCTGTGTTATCTTGATTACCTGACCTAGCTTTACTTTTTTTTTTTTTTTTTTTTTAGCAAGTGAAAGCAGTAGAGAGATTCATGCGGCGTTTGGAATTCCATCTCAGCAAGGTGTTTTTGAATGATTCAACTCCTAACTATATCTTATACAGGTTATGGTTATTTCCATTCAGTGTGTGTGAAACCGTGTTGTCTTGTAGGTGGAGGAGCTATACGATGCTTACTGCATACAGCGGCGGCTCCGAGATGGAGCAAGTAAAATGGTGGCAGCTTTTAACTCTGCCACTGGGAGCAAAGAGGCCAGGGAGAGCTTGAGTGAGGCCAGCAGGGGCTTTAGGGAATGCACGGAGGTGAGTTACTAACCCTAAGTCAGTGTACTGGGTTCAATTTTTGGGGAAATATATTTGCTTGATGTTAACAGTCATGTTGGTTTGCATGCAGCACATGTGCTCGCTTGAGAGCGAACTGGAAAGCCACATGGGAGAATTTCATGTCAAGATGAAGGGTGAGTGACTCATTTTGTGAACTCATCACTTTCACTTCCTTCTCTTCATAGCAATATTTTTTCATTCATTTTGTAGGTCTTGCTGGTTTTGCACGGCTGTGTGCGGGTGACCAATATGAGGTAAAAAGAAAAAAAAAATCAACAATAAAACACACTCAATGCATGCATTCATTTTTGAAAAGTCTTAATTTGGTTACTTCCTGAAATTCTGGTATTTTTTTGGACTATAAGTCACTCCGGATTATAAATTTCCCCAGTCAAAAACTGCGTCCTGAAGAAGGAAAAAAAACGATATGTCACTCTGGACTGTAAGTCGCATTGGGGGGAAAATTTATTTTACAAAAATTGAGACCAAAAACAGTAGAGTCGAGATCAGACCCCAAAATCCCAGTTACCCAATCGTGGGTGTGTTTGGAAATACACTCCAAGCACGCACTGCTTCACTCCAACAGTTCAGAAACACATGGCGATGTTCAAATGTGCCGTTTGGTTATTCAGATGGCCCAAAAAGAGTTCTGGAGCCCAGTGGGTCAGGCAGAATAGACAGAAACAGTTCAAATTCAAGAGCTGGTTTAGAACACGGGTGTCAAATTCAAGGCCTGGGGGCCAGAGCTGGCCTGACACATCATGCAATCAGAGATGGGATTTGTGTGTGTATGCGTGCAAAATATAGTAATTGAAATTGACATCCAAAATGAGTCTGGTACGTTGTATTACAAAACGTTTTACTTTTATATAAAAAAAAAAAAAAGTCATTATCCAGCCATCCATTTTCTGTAGCCCTTGGTTTCTAGGGTCGCCAGTGAGCTGTAGCCAATCCCGTCCAACTTTGGGCAAGAGGCTGCCTACAGCAAATCACAGGGCAGATCTTGACATTGATGTCCTCATGATCAGAATCTTGCCTTTTCACCTTTTTGGCTGGCAAAATATGAGTGTTCTATTGCTTTATAGTGAGTGTATGTTGGTGTCCATTTAGCCTCTAAATCACTCCAACAATCAATATTTTGAGGTTTATATCAAGGTCTTTGTATTGAATGTGAGAGGTGCTGTGAATGAAAAGGGCGAACTATTCCCTCATTTGCCAGGTGCTCATGCGCTACGGGCGTCAACGCTGGAGGCTTCGAGGACGCGTGGAAGTCAGCAGCAAACAGATGTGGGACAGCGAAGACTACATTTTCCTGCCTCTCGTCGCTGAACTTTTGTCAATCAAGGTAAGTGCCTAATGGGACGTGTATTAATATTTACGTCCACCAGGGAATTTCTGTTTTCCTTAGTGCAATGTTCCCCATTCAGTTGGCTTTGTACTTCACATGGGATTTTGGTCACCAACCACACATTAGTGACATCATAAACATGATCACTTTTCAGTTGGATGTTAAGATGTTCAAAGGCTTCTAACCCCGTCCTTCCAAAAATTGGGGGAAATGTTATGGTTCTTAAGCGTTTAGAAATATTAGGAAAAAGTAGTATGATCTGTTTCACTCAGTAACATCGCATGCATGCATGCGTGCGAGCGCACACACACACACACACACACACACACACACACACACACACACACACACAAATACCATTCTGATTGCATCACACATTTAGCTTGGGATTTTAAAGACGTATTTGATTTGACAATTTTAACACACACTCACAGAAAAATACTGGTGATGTATCGCTGGCATTGGGTCAAAACCCCCGATGTCCAAATTTGTTCAGTTTCCGATTTTTTTCACAAATTGATACTGTTGCTCAGTCCCCACATGGGTATGTCATCTTTTCAAATTGTTGACCAAACGAAAGTGATGGTATCTTTTGAAGAGAAGGTTTCCGCCTGATGCCAGCGATATGAAGGCTCCGTCACATCAAAAACAAGGAATTTCTCATGGGGCACTGCTATGATTGATGAATCTGTTGGAACGCTCCAGTGATTGGGCCAATTCACAGAAAAGTTGCGGTAACTGGAGGAAATTGCAAGCTTGTGCAAACAGTAATTCACGGTGGTTGGTTTATTTTGCATGAATTGTTGCGATTACCACATCTTCAACTGTTAGCTCTCATTGGGCCAAGTTGTAATGGTTGGATTTTATTTCGGACCTCCTTGTATTTTATGTTATTTTGGATCGAGTTAATTCCATAACCAGCTCAAAGAGGAAAATACAAAATGAAACAGCCTCCCATGGCTGACTTTTATTTTCAGGTGACAGAGCTGAAGAGTCTGGCCAATCACGTGGTGGTGGGTAGCGTGTCCTGCGAAATGCTCGACCTGTTCTGCCCACTCCCCCAGACGCTTGCTGTGGATATTAACGACCTGGGAACAGTTAAGCTGAACTTGGAAGTCACATGGAGGTAATTACACTTGCAATATGCACGCACCCTTTAGTCACTCAACGTAACTCTATATAAAGTCATCATATTTCTTCCAGTCCTTTTGATAAGGATGACCAGACATCGTCCTGCAGTACCGTTTCCAAACGTCTGTTGTCCAATCAGAGCCCTCCAGACACGCCCTCCATGCGGGAACAAGTGTTTTATGTGAGTCAACACGAACTCTCCCATGTCATCATTCTCCATTTAAACCTGTTTCCTCGCCGGCCACTTCATCTGGTGCACCTTATATGATCCATTCAGTGCAGCTTCAAATTTGACTTTGCTGTTGGTCTGTCATTCTAGTTAATGTGGTAGCTAGCTGCTAGCAGTGTTTAGCCACGCTGCTTTGAACAGAGAGGTGCCTAAGACACTGTTGCCCCACTATATTGTGCTTCACTTTGCGCTGTCCCGTTACATCATGGATCTTTTTGATTGTCTATCTTACTTGTCCATCACGGAACTTCCTACTACAAGGTGGAAATCTGTCATGAGAGTCACAGTTGCTGATGCGTCTCCCTGTGTATAAAAATGAAAACACGTTAAAATGTGGAACACTTGCACGGAGCTGACACGCAAGGACTCCAACGCAGACTCGTTTGCCAATGTTGCGCCACACTACGAGGCCCCGCCTCTTAAAGGCAAACATATAACACAGAGATACAACAGTATGTACAGTACAGTATTTTCTTTACAATATATGCTTGCCATTATTTTTCTTTGTGTTGAACTACGTTTACAATGTACATAAAGTGAATTTTAAGGCATTTAAATTAGGTTTTAGTGTGTGGGTAAAATGATGTTATCCCTAATCATTTAAAATAAGGACAAACCTTTCAGTATGATTCAGTGAGGTTTAACGGTACTGTAAACTACAACCAAATTCATCAATATGTTGCATAATTCATAAATGTTAAAAGCATCAGTCAACTAAACATTGTTCGAGTGTTTTCCCAGCTATATTGCGGGTCATCGTGGGCGCCTACACTATACTGTTCGTGTGTGTGTGTGTGTGTGTGTGTGTGTGTGTGTGTGTGTGTGTGTGTGTGTGTGTGTGTGTTTAAAGGGTTTTTACAGTATACTTCCCTTCAGTAGTAATGCACTTTACAGCAATTGATTGAATGCCGTAAAACAAATCACAGATCACATTCACGCGGAAGGTGCTCTGGGCCTAAGCTCTCACACGCCACCCCATCTACCCCCGCCTCTTCAAGGCACAAGTATGTACACAAACACTACATTACGTACAGTATTTTCTATACATTTGATCCTTGCAGTTTGTTTTATTGTGTTCAAAACAAAAAAACAGCCGTGTTTTTTATTTGTTTAAATGAGTGTGCGGGCAGTATTAAATAGTTGTGCTTTTTTTTTTTTTTTTAACTTATATAGTGGATTTTCACCTATTGTGTGTGGGTATGGTACATATCCCCCAGGGGTTGTATTTTGAAAAATTATGCTTACACCTGTGAGCATCCAGGTGTACCTAATAAAGTGGCCAGCGAGGATATCCATCGATCTGTTTTGCCTCAATCATGGCTTGCTATTACTTTCATTTCACTGGCTTGTTCTGTTTCAGCTGCTCCCCACCTGCTTTGTGTGTAGCAGTAGCACTGATGTGTGTGAGAATAATCGCACAGGACTGTGTGTCAGGTCATGTGGTTGTGGAAGTGGCGTGCCTAACGCAAGTAGCCCTGCGGCCAGTGATGGCGCTCGCGGGAGGTGTGACAGCGGAAGCGTGTATGAGCGGAGCTGCGGCCCCTGTAGCTGTTTAATAGTGGTTGAGTAGCCGTCCAATATGTTCCTCCTCTTCCTCACCTCGCTGAAGAGCATACCTCTCGGGGGCGCCGTGCGAAGACGCCGGCCGACAGAGGCAGTCAACGAGGGCGTGATGGACAGGACGGCTTCCTTACAGCGCACATTGAGCCATGCAAGAGCCCCATCCAGAGATGTACAGTTGGTGTGTGGAATGTAGTTTTAGTGTTGGTGGACTTTTGTAGTTCAATAGTGATAGCAAGTGACTGACCTGTTGGATATGAGTCATTCCCTTATTTTCCTATATAGGGAGGGGGTCTTCGGTTTACAATAGCACTGATGATACTGTGTGGCATTTCGAGATTTCAAACAGTGCTCAATGAGCTAGTGTGTACCTGTTCCACAATAGAAAAAAGTCTGCTCAATTGGCACCATTCAGTGTATCCCCCAATTTCCAGACCCACTCACGATAGTTGAAAATACACAATATTGAGAGACCTTAAGAAACATGTTTTGCATAGTTCCCACACACTTTAAATAAATTAGGCAAATTATTAAACCACACTTTTTAAAGTATTCCGTAGCGCCTGCTCTCACTCGCTCGCTATCAAGAAATGGGAAACCGTCGTATTACAACCCCCCTCCCCAATAAGAAGCTAAACATGCTTGCTTCAAGCTGTTTTTTGTCACAGTTGAAGTTCACTCTAAAAGTGACACATAAAACAAAAGGGAATTAAACATTGTGTTTTTAAGATCATGTTCAAACAAATTTATGATTTAATCTTAGGGAATTCCGCTAGTTTAATGCTACCGTGTTATGTGAAATTCCATAGATATGCTAAAGCACTCCATGAAGCGTGGATTTGTTTTATATTTAAGGCCTAGAAATATCTTTGATACAAATATCAATTCTGTAATTGTGATTAAAGTACTGCTAGATTATGGTATACATCAACTTAAAAATTGGGGTTCCATCATTGCTGAACGAACTGAACCTAAACAAGGGCCCCTTGTAGATACAAGACAGGCAGGCAGACAGACAGAAAAAAAAAAATCACACTAAAATAAGCGCCTTTAAAGTAGTGATATGGGGGGGAAACAGCCTTTTATATTCAAACACCTTCAGATTAGCAACCCAAAGTGCCTCACACAATAGGCAATGAAGATTACAGCAACAGCTAAAATAACAGATACTGGAAATAACCAGGAGTAATTTACGGTTAAATTTCTGTTTCTCAAAAAACATCAATGTGTATTTCCTTTGTTTACAAACTGCGGAGCAAAATAGGATGTTTGCTCCTTTCCACCTGTTTTCTTTTTCCTGCTGGCGCTAAAATGTGCCCATTGTTCTTGATTTCAGCATGCTCCCTGAATAAATCTGTTTAACCTGACCTGAATCGCGGTGGCCTTATGGGTTTGAAAGCCCTCATTTGTTCCACATCCCGCATGGAACACATCCATTGGACATTACTTACACACCACATTTGTGAGCTGTGGTCATGACCGTCATGTGCAACCTTGAGACCTGACTGCAGGGAGCTTTGACAACCACTGTTTAAGTTGTTGTTGTAATAGTTTGTCCTTCTTGTAAAGCAGTTTGATCAGGTGGATGGCATCACCAGCAAACGGTAGTTGTAGCGAATAGTCTGCCATTTACTACATAGAAATTTCATAATGAAACAGAAAAACACTTTGCCACCTAAGATGCAGTATCATTGCTGGATGAGTTCGCATGTTGGTTTGTCATTATGTGTTAGCGTTAGCTTTATAGTCACGTGACTTGAAGATAAAATGGGTCCTACTGGAATCATTTTTCCTTGATGAAGATCTCTATTCTACTGAGTGCCATCTGTTTCTGAATTTTTTTATACAATTCTTGTATTCAGATTCCGATTGAAATATGAAAATATTGGTCATCACCAAAAGAACACCATTCCTGCTCTCAAGCAAGGTGGCATCATCATGCTTTGAGGCTGTTTTTCTTCAGCTGGAACTGGCATAAGGTGGAAGGAATTATAAACAGTTTATAAAAGCAGTCAGTGCTAGCACACAGCTTTCAGGTTTCTGCTAGACAGCAAAAAAAAAAAAAAAAGTCACCTGTCATGCTGTCATTCTACTACAGTGCAAATTTGATTTGGATTCGATTAATTGTTCAGCCCTAATTCTGAACACAGACACATCCCAGTTGTAAGAGGGGTGTGCATATTTGTGCAATGACATTATATCACCTGTTTATTTTCATCATCTTATTTCCTCCAGTCCCTGCTGAAGCGACAAGGAGAGCTCGACAACGGTACCGTCTGGTCCAACTCCTCCGAGTCCTCCGACGACTCGTCTAGTCCAGCCCTGGCCCACCACGCTCAGAGGCTGTCGGCCTCCAACGTACTGCATACCAGCGTCCCTGCACCGCACAAGTCCAGCGCTTCAACGCCGTCGTTGTCGTCCAATCAGGAAGAGGACGAGAGCGAAGCGGGCGAGGTTTTCTCCCCGAGAGATTCGGTGCACAACGGCCACCCGCGGACGTCCTCCTCTCATAGCCGAGTCGGCGAGACCGGCCCGGAATGTACTGTGATGGACAGGCTGTCTGCCCAATCGTCCGAGCTTCTGGAAACCTCGGCGGAGCTGAGCTGCTCGTGCTCTGACGTTTCCTCCACGGCTGCCGAGTCGTTAGAGAGGACGGATGAATGTCCGGGCAAAGATCCACCTGAGAACTCGACAATCCTGACCGGAGCAGGGACCGCTGAAGGTGAAGGACCAAGCCAGACAGATCAGGATTTAAAACATTCTGATGGAGCTCCAAATGTAAGTTGATGCTTGTGTTTCTTCGCTGTTTCGCTAGTCCAGCCTTTAACTTTAACCCCTTTTAAAATCCATACAAAATGAAATATTTCCATTGGACCACTGCTTCTCAGACATTTTACACTTCTCAGAAGTGTTACACTAAATAAAACATTTGGCTCTCCAAGTACCACCATCATGACAGCAATAAAATCCACAAGGCCCAACCATTCATCAAATATCAGGTATAGTTTATATTATTCTAAGCCACGGTCACATTATGCCAATTAAATCATGCACTTAAGTAGAGAGAAATAATTTGAATTACTTAAATAATGGCTCAGTTCAAATGTATTTTAGTTTTTCTTGATTGTTTTTGGTGGTACCAACAATTTTCTCCTCGTGTGCACGTTTGAGCCGTAAAAATATTTATCTCCTCAAAGTGCCCAGCGGCTAGAATAGGGTTGGGCATCGAAAAGCGGGAGTAACATTACGGTTCTCCCGGAATTGTTCAAATTCGAAAATGTCGGTGCTAAATTTCGATGCCTAGTTTGCCGTGCTCAGGAAGTTTTAAAATAAAATCAATAATGGTTTAACTAGTTAACTAGTAATTTATCAATGTGTTTATTTGTAATCATATTAGGCAATTATACACTGATCTGGTATCACAGTCATGATGGCCCTCTAAGGGGAAACTGTGACCATGATGAGGCTCATGACCAAAATGTGTTTGACCATCCTGTCATGTAGCATACACTGCATATACGTACATTCATATAAACATACAGCGTCTGTTTCTGTCGGCCACTTACATTAGATATACAAATGCAGCATTTGTGGTTGTCAAATAGAGTTTTTCTTTCTATAGAAAAACAACACTAGGTTAGCCCATCATTGGGTTTGGGTTTGTTAGCACTCTCAAAGTACCTGCTGCATTGTATTTTATTGCGGTTCTCCTTCTTTTCCCCTCCTGGCACTTCTGCCGATTTCAGCACGACACTCACACACACTCATGGCTGATGAGGCGCTCTAAAGTGGCACATCAGCAGACTAACCGAAGGGAACGTGCATTTTTAGGGTGTCGGCATTGCTAGTTCGCTAACTGCGTGTTGCACTTTTGTTGGATAACTCGTGATGTGAATGAGAGTGCTCAAGTTCTTATATAGTCGGCGACGGACAACTCATGCCGGACTCCAAACTGTGTCACCAGCTACCGTATTAGCCATGGCTACAAAAATTCAGGAAAATTGTCATGGGGAAAAACATTTTAATGCTGTATCTGTATAGATGAATACTACATATGTCTCAGTCTTTGCCTATTTTGGGTGATTGTCTTCAAACATTCATCCATCCATTATGCGAACCGCTTATCTCCACGTCTATTGTATTTAGAACAAAATCTTTGGAATTACTCAGCAAATGATCATTTGCTACTAATTGGTCAAGTGGGTAGTTGAAGTGTTAACGTGTCTGGTTTCTTCCCAGGTCCCGTTTCCCACTTCTTCTAGTTTCACTCAAGAAGTGGAGACTGCGCTTGAGAGTTTTGACTTCCTCAACTGCTCTGACCTGGAGGAGGAGGAGGAGGAGGAGGAAGAGGAAGAGGAAGAGGGGGAGGAGGAACAGGCTGAGCATCAAGAAGAGGTTGTCCAGAAAGAGATGGACGAGCTGCATGAAGACAATGAGCAGCCAACGGAAGAGGAGCATCAAGAGGAAGATGAGCAACAAAAGGAGGAAGAGCCTCAAGAGGAACAGAAAGAAGCAAAGCAAGAAGGCGAGGAACAGCCTGGCGAAGATCAAAACAAGAGTGAACAAGACAACATAGATGAGGAGAAGGCAGAGGAGGAGGAAGAGGAGGAGAGCAAAGAAATCTTGGACTCCGGAGCAAGGTTTGTGTTTTCCTTTGAGTACCGTCAAGAGTGACAGAGCCCCTCTGCCAATTGGAGAGTAATTAACAAAAAGGTTTGTCATTGCCAGAAGATGGCGCAAGAGCATTTTTCTTTTTTCCTGTAAAAACGAGGCTACGGCCTGACTAAATGAAGCGCCTCCCTTCACTTTAATATAGTTCCTTGGACACAAAATCCCGCATGGCAGTGCCAAAGAATAGATAGATTTTTCAGAGAATAACAGAGGATTGGTTAGAAAAAAAAATCGATAATATGAAAAAAAATGATGCATTTTTAAAATGATACCAAATAATTATTTTAGTATTAAAGTAAACAATTTTACAAATGCATAAAACTGTATCCCCTTCATTTCTTTTCACACTGAAATTATTGTATATAATTAAAATGAGACCTAAATATTATACGAGTAAAATAAATGAAGGGGTCGGGGGTGGCACTGTGTTCGACTGATTAGCATGCCGGCCTCACATTCAATAGGTGCAGGGTTCGATTCTGGCTCCTGCCTTCCTGTGTGGAGTTTGCACGTTTTCCCCGTGCCTGCGGGGATTTTCTCTGGGTACTCCGGTTTCCTCCCACATTCCAAAAACATGCATGGCAGGTCAATGGAACACTCTGAAGTGTCCCTAGGCGTGAGTGTGAGCGAGAATGGTTGTTCGTCTCCGTGTGCCCTGCGATTGGCTGGCAACGGGTTCAGGGTGTACGCCACCGACTGCCCAAACGGGTTCTGGGTGTACACCACCGACTGCCCGAAGACAGCAGGGAGAGGCTCCAGCACGCTTGCGACCCGTTTCAGGATAAGCAGATTAGAAAATGGATCGACGGATGGATGGAATAAAATAATGAATGAATTCTGTTTTCACTCCATTATTTCATTCACAATTTTATGAATTATAAAGAATACAATTACAAATGTGCCCCCGACAAGGAAAAAAAAGCTGACTGGAAGTAATTTAAACACAGGATTGAAATTCGAAAGTCAAACCTTTTCCTGTGATTTTCCGTATTTTGCACCGACAGTGATGAAGAGGCGGGAGACGTGTTGGAGTTCCTCATGGAGGCTCCGGAAGGATTTCGAAACTCTGACGAAGACCGCATCTCCGAATCGCAGGTGCGCTGCAAGGCTGACCGGCCGAGTTCGCTTTCTCGTCGTCAACATGCTCAAGTATTCCAAAAAAAAGGAAACCCAAAATGTTTCCATCAGGAGTCGAGTGCAGAAGAGGAGCAGGATTTGAGTCAGGTGCGGCTCCCCGGGGAAGAGGAGGGGCACTGTGAGGAAAAGGGAGAAGAGCCACATGGTGAGTGGGAGGCGGTCCTAAACTTCAGTTCTCTTTGTTCCATGAAATTTTATTAATTAATGTATTTATTAATTTATCCAACCGTCCATTCTCCGTCAGTCAATGACAGACTGAGAGGTCTGTCGGCATTTGACGGCATAGGGAGGGGGGGGGGGGTTCCCATCATTCGTCAATTGTCAGCAAATGTGCGTCCGTCAGTGACATACTGAGAGAGCTTCCGTCAGTCCTGACAGGATGCCCACCTCTGCTTATCCCTGCGAATATCGAATCCAATCCACTTGTATTTGTTAGTGCTATACAAATCAATATATGCGCAACATCATAGACAAGAGAGGTTCACATGGCACAATTGTGTGATTTTGTACTGTAGTAGAAACCAAAATAGCTCAACTTATGGTTTTGATTTCTTTGACTTGAATCTTCCAGAGCAGGACACGTCACACGATGTTCAAGAGGAGGCGGAGCGTCCCCCGACTCCCAGCCACTTGGCCACCACTGTGTTCTAATTGGCCGGCCCGCAGCGCGACCATTTCCAGTCTTGTCTAAACGTGCTCATTGCCAAGTCGACAAGCAAGCTCTTCCATTACTGCAGAGTTTGTGCACACGTTCGCCTTGTTCTGACCAAGAACCACAAACACATTTCTTCATTTTCCAAAGTCCTCAGTCTTTCAAAGGCATTGTGTGGCCTGCGTTCATACCACTTTGTTTCAAAATATTCCACGAAGAGCAGGTTCACTGTATTTAAGTGATGAAACAACACGAAGAGGATGCATTTTGCTTACCATCAATGACTGGGGCCAGTTCTGCGTTTGCAGTACTGGTGGGACTGGGCACTTTTTGCAGTGTTTTCCAGCAAGTGAAGCTCTTTTTGGTCATTTATTTCCACAGCGCGCTAATGTATACTAGTCGTTTGACGTTGTCTTTTAAGCTACAACAGGACTTGAACTGCCTTATGACTTAAGCGATTTAGGGATACATATGTACATTCGGCAGGATTGTTTTAAAATGATGCAATATGCGGTGTAAAATTATATTTAAACCTGCATGAGTGTACCTGCCTCACACTGCCAGCATGTCTGTTGTACGAGGCTTAACTGATTCATTTCGGCGTGTACAAATTCCAGCCTCAGTGGAGCGCTACCATGTCTCTGCATTTCTTTTTCTTTGTCGTCATATAAAAAGCCTCTTCATTCAGAAAGTGCCTCAAGTGACAGATGTTAAGGTTGTATAAAAAAAGGGGGGGGGGGGTTTGAACAGGCAAATGTTTCAGTGTTTATTTTGGAATTACTTTTAAGAGTGTTCACTTTAAGAGATATTTACTGTTTCATATAAAGAATTGTACCTGTCCTGAAATGTTTTATGTTCAGAAATGTTCAAACTTTATAAATTCTTCTTTAAAACAAACATCCTGATTTCTTTCCAAAGTAAAAACGGTTTGCAAAAGAACCATGTTTATTTCAGTTGAAAATTTGCTACAAAACGGTCAATTCATGTTTGCTTTCAGGCAGCGTTTGTCGACAACACAAGGTGAAATGAACTGACGTTAAAAAAAAAAAACGTCACTATACAAAGAATTCCTGTCAAAAGCAGTGCATTAATATGCAACCTGTGAAGAGCATGAGCATCACAATTTAAACAATAAATAATCAGAGAAAGAAAACAAAATGAAGAGCTCAAAAAAAAAACAAAAAAACAGTTAGCCAATGTTATATGCAAACGTCAAATTTCAATATGAATATCACATATATGGGCATGAATTACCGGGAATTTATTCCTGCATAAACACACTTAAAGGTGAGAAGGCTACGAATTAAAACACAATCCCGCCACTAGTTTAACCATTCCTAGCAGCAGCAATAAAAGCTCAATAAAAGCTATAAAAATAAATACTGAAGTGAGATTTAAAACCCTCATTATATCTCTGCAGTCATTCTTCAGGTTAATAGTGAAATATTTGCAACTCGTGTTGGGTCATCTTTTCGGTTCCTTGCTAAAAGCTGAGGGGTTTTTCCACTGAGCCTCCAAGGTGCGACAAGGCTATGGCGAGCCTGGCTTTCAGTTCCGAGTAGTCCGGCTGCTCCGTATACTGCAGCTCTGACACTGTGCTCACGTAGCTCTGAATTGCACCTAAACAACAAAAAAATCAACGTGTAAGCTATTAATCAGTTACTTGTCGTGATATTTCTACATATTTACTCACTCGAAGCTTTATTTCTGCCAAAGCAGTGACTCAACAGTGCTGGAACGTCGTCCATGTATCTAAAATAAGAACAATGAATACACATGAAATGGGAGAATGCACACGGCAACATCAGTACCGGTGCCGCATGGAACATGGATCCCCTGTCACCAAAATTTGCATACAATGCAAATAATGTCATGTTCTTGACTAAAAAATATACCAAACCAATTTCTTGTCAATAATTTATAGCGTGTCTAAAAAGTCAACACACCCCAGTTCAAAGGCCAGCTTTGTGATATAAAAGAATGAGACCAAGATAAATCATTTCAAGGGGGAGAAAATTATGAACAGTTCCAAATACCAGTGAGTGTTAGCACAAAATATTCAGGCTTCTGCTGAAAGCAAAAAAAAGTCAGGAAAAGTTTTCATTTTACTTCCCATTTAAAGGGGAAGCCAACCGCGAAATTGTGTTTACAATAGTACGTTCTATGCTGTCCCACCAGTCTGAACACAGCATTTTGATGAATATTGCGTTTGTGGAATACGAGTTAATTACCAAAAAAATACACTTTTTTTTTAAATCCGTCTCAGGGGGTGGCCATTTTGCCACTTGCTGTTGATTGAGACATCACAGTTACTCAGGGCTCAGGTAACAATGAATAACAGATCACCTTTTTTCTGAGTTTGGTCCTCTGACCTTCAGAAGCTGGGCTGCAACTGGTCATTACCTGAGCGTTGAGCAATTGTCATGTCATTTTCAGTTGACGGCAAGTGGCAAAATGGCCACCTCCTGAGATGGACAAAATAACGTGTGTATTTTGCTACTTAACTCACAGACTGCTGGGTTTAGCCTGGTGGGGCTGCATACAACATATTAGTGAAATGACATATTTTTGGTCTGGTTTCCCTTTTAATTAAAAAAAAAAAAAAATCAATGGAGTGTGCAAGTAAAATGTAAGAAAACAAATGCTCACCTCTGTTTGAGGTCAGCCACCTGGTCGGGATCGGTGAGGCCACTCCATGGCAGCGCGCCCGTGTGCCACTGCAGCATGCAGTAGCCCAAAGACTGCAGGTCACTGCGCCGCGATGGAGCTGAAAGAGCACCTTGAAACCTCACGCCGGCTGACGGTTCTTATTTTACAACAGTGCTACTCAAACTTTCAACGCACAGTAGCCCCTCCCAAAAAATACTTGGCTATTCAAACATTCAGGTGGAGGGGTTGTTTGTGCTTTTATTACGATTTACAGTGATGCACTTCAGCCACTCATGGAGGACGATCCTAAGACGTGAACTCACCTGCTCCGGCATGCGAATCAATGCTGATGAACTCGAGCGATCCTTCGTGTGGTTCTTGGATGCCTTGGCGATATCCCACGTGGCGTCCACCGGGACAGTAGCGTGAGGCGTGGTAGTATCCTACCAAATATATCTGAAAACACGTGCGCAGGTACATGCATACGCAGAGACACAAGCACACAAACCAAAACTCAAGAGACACAAGCACACAAACAGATAACACGTGCACACAAGCACATACATGATCACATACAGTCATTTGCAGACACACAAAGACAGACGCACATGCCACACACATCAGCCAGAAATAGGTAGACGGATGCAAAAGACAGGCACGCACACACACATTCCAATGTGACACAGCCAGAAGCGCACACACAAAACGCACACAATGAGTGGGGTGTACAGTGGGGGCACTACAAATGCGTCAGCGAGCGTCCTCCCAACCTGCGTCGGGCATCCCGCTTGGATGTAGACGTTTTCGGCATTGATGTCGGCGTGCACGTACTCGTTGGAATGGATGTAGTGTAGCACGTCCAGCTGCAAGGGACGCGCAACACATCAACTTCTAGGAGGACGAGGCGAGGGGACCAAGGGGCAAAGGAAGCTCGCTCACTATTCTGCAGGCAAGATGAAGAACCGTCTTCTCGGGAAGACGACTGTTGTCCATGACAGTCTGGAGCGACTGGCCCATGGCGGAGAAAACCAGGAACCTAAAAATGGTGACAGAAAGGCTTTACGACACTCTGGCTGTGAAGTGAATGGGCGAGGGGGCTGTGGTCGGGGCGATGGTAGAAAAGTGCAAACTCAAAAGTGCACCTGTAAGAATCCGTGTGACCGAAGCTGAGACAGGACGGAATTCCAAGGAAATCCAAGTCATGTTGCTTGATCCACTTGGCCACTACAAAGATGCAAGGGAAGCCTGATGATAAAAGCGCTTGAAAACGGCAATTCTCAAAGTCCAGTAAATGTAGCAGTAGCTTGTGGAATGTCGAACGCTTTTTGAAAAGAAAGAAAAAAAAAAAAAAAAGCAAATGCTCACCAGATGAAGGCTTCGCAGCCCTCTGCAGAAAGTTCTGCTCCTTGTAAATTCTTCCTCGTTCAGCACCCTGCAATTCAAATGTGCAGCTATTCATTGAAGAAGATGCATGTTGTGGTCGTAGTTAGCAGGGGGTGTAGTAGTGCACCACATTGGCAGCTGCAAATTCATCTACGGTAGCTCATTTAGCTACATGAGAGGACGAATCGTTCACAAAAAATTCACGGTAAAACCGAGATTAAGCCTGCCACCGCCAACCCAAAATCATAACGTACAGTATATGTTATGTTTTAAAATAATACTTAACTATATTCATAATTTCAATATCTATATATCTGGATTATAAAGCGAAGCGTCTCTCAGCAAAATGCATGTGCAATAAAGTTGATCAGTTTGAACATTAAATATCTTGTCTTGGTAGTACTCAATTAAATATACAGTAGGTTGAACATGATCTACAAATCGTATTCTGTTTTTACTTACAGTACTTTATTTGAATTGGGTAGCTGGCTAGATAGATGCGCTAAAGAAGAATTGTTCAATATCTGCCAAGCTGCTGCTTGTTCTGAAGTGAGGTGGGTTCGCAACACGGGCTCTCAAACAATTTCATTCTGTCTTGACAATTAGAATACTACCTGTAGTTTGCGGTTCACGAACAAAAACATTTGTATGCAGCACATCAAAATGTTTTGCAATAAGAAGGCTGGGGGGGGGGGGTCATAGTTTTTCCATTGCAGCGTGTTGATAATGTGTGTGAGGATCAATCGGCTGGTGTGCGGTGCCGACCGTATTTTATTTTGAAACTAAATATTAGACTCACCAGTTTAAGGATATAATCAGGTTCCTTCGAGGAGGACCACGACCCTTTGTGCACAACTGGAAATAAATCCAGATATTGCAGTTAATACAGATGTTGGATTTGGTTTCATGTACTGGCTGACGTCACACGTGATCTGTTACCTTCATACACGAGCTCTGTCAGGCTCTGACTGAGCAGCTTGACCAGCGTCCACTTCCTGCCTGTCGTGTCTGTCAGCTCCTCGCCATCCTCGAGTCGCTCCACGGCAGCCACCTTCTTCGCTTTGTTCTGTCCTCTGCCTGCACATTCATTCAGACATGCACACTCTTCGAAAATCGTCCTTGGATTCAGATGAAACAAGAGCTCTATCGAACTTTCTGATGGTTCTTATTTGGCATCATCCATTTTGTTTTTGTCACAGCCGGTCTATTGGACGTCAAAGGATTGTGCAGCTGCGGGGTTTGTCATTAATGGTGGCTCGATGGCCCGTGGCCAAGACGTCGCTGTATAATGTGGTTGGTGTGCGTGTTTGGTTCACCTTTGAAAGGAGATTTGGAGGCAGGAGAGGAAAGAGGAGAGAAGACAGTCAGAGGCAAGCTGTCCACCGTGGATTCTTCTGTGTTCCTCATCGTGACATCTGTCGTTCTTTCTCCTTCCTCCACAGGTTGCAGGAGCGTACCTCTGCCCCTTCCTGTAGATAATGTTGACGGATGAGACATCATTCCGGTTGAGTTTCACAACAAGCATAATACTCACAAACATCGAGTCTTTACCCTCTGCAAACTACGACCAATATTACCGCAGCTTATTGAGTCACTTAGAAACTCTTTTTTTTTTTTGGCTCATACAGGTCCATATTAAAATTCCCTCTGTCGGCCAAGGTATGCACAAGGAGCGCAATGTCAAAGAACTTTTTCCCACGTTCCAACCACAGGCACGTTGGGTTCATTATCCATCCATAGGTGTCAATACGACCGTTGACTCTAGAAAGTTGGATTGTTGTTTTTTTGTCCAAGCTTACCAGATCTGGGAGGTTTTAAGATGGGAGGGGGAGAAGCCCCAACAGCTGCTGCCTTCTTGACACGTTTGACTGGAGTTTGCTTTGGTGAAGACATACTGTTATCTATAAAAAAGGAAAATACAATGATGCAAATTACCGTTTTATTAATCTGGATATCTGTTATATCATTAGCCTACTATCATAAGAGCCTCAGGAATTTTTGAGTGACATTCACAATATCTATAAAAAAATGCCAATGTGTTTGCAAAAAATTTGGGGGTTTTCCTTATGTCTGTTTATATTCTCAGTCATCCAGGTCATTGCAATCCACGCAAGCTGGATCGAGGCAACTGCACATTTTGTGTGTGTGTGTGTGTGTGTGGGGGGGGGGGGTCAAATGTGACCTTCCAATTAAATGGATAGACTTTCAGATTTGAGAAAAATATGCCGATGATACAATTGGCTACATTTTTATATTTTCATTTCCAACATCGGGGAGGACGTTCAGAAAAAACTGGAAGCAACAATCTAGGATACCTACAAGGTTTGGAAAGTTCATAATACAGTAGCATGTGAAAACAAACAAACAAAGAATCATAAATGAACTTAAAAAAATAAATAAATATTAAAATAAGTGGGTAATTATTACCTTGTGCCACTGGAGGAGCATCTTCTTTTTCATTTAATTTGACTTCCCTGTCCAGGCGGAGGGAGTTACGAGTCTTACGCAGTGCAGGACGAGGAGAAACTAAACTTTCATTCACTGTAAATGAAGAAAAATATTGATGGGTTTCCAACACTTCTGATAGAGTTCTTGCGTCGGATATTACTAGAGTGTGCAATTGTACTTGACGTGTACATTGCAAAGATAATCTTACCGTCTGTTGCCTCATAGCACATGCTGGATGCATGGCCTGTTTTAATGGCTTCATCCCCTTTAGGGGGAGAGAAATTTGGAGGTTTGGTGGCTTCCGGCGCAGATGCCTCGGTGGTACAAGGAATTTTCTCCCCACATGAAGGACAGAATTTAAAACCGGACTGCAGCTTTGTGCCGCACTGAGGGCAGAAACGGAAAGTCATTCTGCAAGAGAACGTGCGCATAGTGTGGTTAATATGAACAGATGAATAAAACATCACAATAAGATGGTGTTGAATAAACTGCTAATATAATGTCAACAAAACACAATCTAACTCAACCTGTGGCTAATGATAGGAGAGTATACATTTGGAAAGTTATATGATCATGTATTCATTATCATTGATATCCATCTTAAGGTCCACATTTCTGAGACCTTGTGAAACAAAAGAGTCACATGACACACTTATTGAACATTAGAACTTCGTGGTATGCTTATACTATACGGTTCAGATGTTCAAAGATGTGTGTTAGTTTGAGGGGATATTACATTTGCAAGCTTTACAACTGGCTACTTCACACTGAAGCTAAGTGGCATTTCTTCAGAATTATGCAAAGATAAAGTACAATACAATATTCACATAAATGTGCAGGGTTTACGCACTTCTGCGAGCTACTGCATATCAAAGCTATTATTGCAACCCCAGATTAGCTAACATACAGTATTGACTTGCTGGTTATGTACGGTGTACATGATAAATTAAACGTAATGTATTGGTATAACACTTCGTAAGGGCATTAATATTGGCAAATTCGGTTGTTGTGAAAGGCCAATGAACATACAGCATACCAAAAGCTTGAAATGGCAACAAATAATCCAGACACTAGTGGTCATAAACATATCTTGGTCGGTCGCTGCGAACACTACTAGCTAAACTATTCGAAAATATATAAAAGCCTGCCTTTTGTAATGTATCATCGATTAGCATCTTGTTAGCGTCTAGAAGAGATAAATCTTGTACCTGTAATTAAAAAAAAAAATGACACCAAATGGACTTTAGAAGTACCTTTCCAATCTCTTCTCCATGATCAGGACGTCTGTGTTTACGTCTTTCTCTTCTTTGATGGAATAATATTGCAGCCTCTAACAGCGTGCAAAAGAATGCTGCCTCTATAGGAACATAGGAGAACTGCACGTGGGCAGATGAAAGCATAGGACGGTGGACGGACGGACAGCCAGCCAGCAAGCAAGCTCGCTAGCGAGAGCGATAGACTCAAGACAAAAAATAGACTATTGGATGTGTAATCAATATGGACAGAATGCCTATCACCTAGAAAATTTTAATTAAAATTCAATCTTTTGAATAATTCACAAATTAAATGACAAAAAACATCTTTCCTTATAAATTCACGTGTTTATTTTATTCGAAAATGGACATCATGCATTAAACATTTTTGAACATTTTACATTTTCTCATGTGTAAGGCACAAATTCTGTTTGTATTTTCTTTATTTAAATCAGCAGAGGGGCAATATAATCTTAGACCAAACATGTATGTCCTTACTTTAAAACATTGAAAAATAAGTGATTTTTCTTTTTAAAACAGTTGCAAGTGTGAATATAATTCATAAGTTATATACAATAAGCATAAGTACACACATACTTTCTATAAATACATCTGAAATGAGATTAGTTTTGAAATGTAAACTATGCAGATATGTGTTGCATTGTTTCTCAAAGAGTAAGAGGAGTAAGAACAAGATCTTTAAGGAGTCTGCAAAAAAAAATCTATAAAAAACCGAATGCATATATTGTTTTAAATTTACATTTGAAAGAAATGTATGTTCTTTTGACATATACAGTATTTCTCAATATTTCGGTATTACTTACAGGACGGAATTGTTCCTTATTAGCATGGACAGCAATGATGCAAAATAATCAAGCCTATTTTTTATTGCCACTGTATATGGCTAGCCAAGTCTGAGAGATCTCCGAAGTTATTAACAAAAATGAGCTAAGTGTAAATTGCATTCGTAAAAAAACAAGTGTATATGTTGAGGAGTAAACTTGGCACAACCGTTGACATTCAATATAAATTGACCATCTAATGAATACTTGAGTGTCTGAATAAGACCTTAGATGCAGCATTACAATGAAATTTAGCAGAACAAACCTTCCGAGGAATATATAAGCAGGAAATACTTATGGGGATTTAAATTGCATATTTATGGCCTATGTGGTATGGCAACTTACTTTGCTGGATTACCATAAAGAAGGAGGAAATATGTTTAGTTTTACTGTCACAATTGGACCTTTCAGCATTATGGTAAATAACTATCCACCACCCCAAGTAACACGTGTCCATCTTTTACTTTAAAGGCAGATAAGTGACATACAGTACTACACAGTATATCAAAAACAGTGTATCACCAATCAGTAGGTTTACAGGGGAGCTAATTTGCATGTTTTAACTGAAACAGATTCCACTGTGTCCTATTTTATGCAGGCCCAGTGTATGTAAACGTCTCCGCCGCACTCTTAACATGCACATTTGCTCCTTTCCGAGGTCTCTGCCAAGTCTGCGTTGTTGTGGCCATTTGTTCTGAAGGTGCCGTCCGGAATCCATGATTTGTCCACGCATCGTTCCATCCTCTTCATGATGAGGTCGAGCAGCACGTCGACAGCCTGGCTGACGTTCTGTCCATTCGCCGCACTTGTCTCAAAGTAAGGGATCCTGTCGGGTGGTAAATGTTAAGTCTGAATTAACATTGAATAATATCCCGGAGATGAATACAAAAAATACAAACAAAAGTAATTGTTTACAATACAGTACAGGCCACTGCCTTTCTTAGATAACTCCACTAATCTTCTCAAGAGGCCTTTCAAAACTCTGCATGCAGCTCTTATTGATTGGACTATTTGTCTTTCGGTACAGTTGAGGCAGAGCAAGATTCTTGACACATGTGGACAAATATTGACTTTTCCAGGAGGGCCAATTTAGTCTGACGCTGTCTTCTCACTGACTCGGGCAAACAAATTGGCCACTGCCTCCTAGACAAACATTTAAGGAAGAGGCTTGGTGGGCGGGTGACACCTACCCATACTTATCTGCCAGCTCTCGGGCTTCTGCCTCACTCACAGCTCTCTGATCGACCAGGTCACATTTGTTGCCACATAGAATCACGTCTGGATTCTCACAGTAGGCATGCACCTGTAATTGGCCTGAAAGAAACAGTTCTTACTTTCTGTGACCTTGTCAAATATGGAGCGTAACATGAAAATCTAATTTGTATATATGAAAGGACTATCCAACAATAGAAACATGCGTGGGATCTGACAAACATCCAAGGAAAAGAAAAAAATGCATTGTAAAACACTTCTTGTACTGGTATGTGTGCAAATGTTCGGCCACTTATAAGAACTCAAGAGTTTCATTTTCATGCTACATTTTCATGTTGACGGTGATTCTAATGCGGAAAAAAGAGCCACATTATTATGTCAGGACTGAAATCGATAGTTTTAGCTGAATTCCAAATCGTATGATATCAACATTTCCACTGTAGCGATTGCTCCATTATACCGTGTACAATTCAAAATGGTGAAATACATAATTAACATGATCCACGCTCAATATTGTACATTCAGTGCGACAGTGAATGGACCTACTCATCCAGTTTCGGACGTTGAGAAAACTTTGCTCATTGGTGAGGTCAAACAAGAGAATGAAACCCATTGCATCCCGAAAAAAAGCCGTGGTCAAACTCCGAAACCTGATGAGAAGGAGCAAAAAAAGAAGCGCACAAAGACGATTGATTGAGGAGACAGAGGGTGTTAAACACAAAATATAGGCTGGACTACCTCTCCTGTCCTGCAGTGTCCCACAGCTGCATGTGGATCTTCTGTCTTCGACCTGAGGAGCCATCAGGACCAGGAGAATTGTATGTCTGTTGAAAACACACATTACGCCTTAAAACATGATCTCACTTTCGGAGTGTTGGTCCAACCAAGTGCAGTAGAAATTCATCACCACTGCAGCAGAGTTAACGGAATCCGGATGAAACAGGCCAACACTTTAGATTGCTCAATAATTCGTAAAAATAACACCTGCGCGTGTGGACTGACCAATAGTATACATTTGGGGGTGGAGGGAAATTTCCCCAATTTTGACTTCTGAAGTTTTGCCCTGATGCCAGGAATATAATGTTATGCCTCCAAATTGTAGACACTATAACAATTTGAGGAATTTTTTATGAAGTAAATTCGTTTTTAAAATCAAGAAGTTGGTACTGGTGTGTACTCATTTTGCTGCCCTGCAACAGTAAATATAAAGTATTTGTGTTTGCATTGACAAATCCCATTTGCAATCAATAGCTCACCCTTGTGGAGGTGTTTTATGCCGTAGTATGTTACGCAATCCAAAATAGTGATAGGAAACTCAAGGTTTTCTAACAAATATGTCGGTGTGTACTTTTGTTGCAGCTTGTGGATGGGGAGCTCTTTAATGACCTACTTGGTCCAAAAGCAGAAGCTGATAACAAAAAGTGAAGCAATAAAACAAAAGTAAATACATGTTAAAGGTAGATGTTGGAATGAGATAACTTGTACTATTTTGTCCTCCTTTTTTTTTTTCAAACTGTACAGAAAAGTAGCAGCTTACCACTCGTTTTTCTCTGAAGTCAATTCCCACTGTGGTGATGAACTTGGAGTTGAACTTGCCATCAGTGTACTGGTAGAGGAAACTGGTCTTTCCCACACCAGAGTCGCCCAAGGCTAGGAACTTGATGAGATAATCATATTCCCCATCAGACATAGTGAGAGATGAATTTCTACAACACACACAAGAACATATTTTTTCCACACTGTAATGACTACAGGAATTTACAAAACACCTTTGGAAGTGAAAAGGGATCACCGGCAAACTGTGGTTAGAATAAAGTGCAAATCTTGTTTAGGAAAGTCAAGTCAGTTTTATTTCTATATCACCAAATGACAACAGAAGTTATCTCAAGTCACGTAACGTCACACATTAGGCATAAAGGTCATTTTTCACTTAACTCAATAAATAACAGTGGAGACCCTTGAAGGGTTGTTTTTTATTTTTGCCATGGGAGCGTTGTTTTTATACAAGTAAATGCCTCCCATACTGAAACAGCTATGCCCTAAGTCTTTTTTGATTGTTCATTTCATATTCGAGAACCTAATAGCAAAGACGAATCAAGAGATAAACACTTAAACTAAGTTGATTTAGCGAAGGGCACATTTATAGACTTCCTGTGGTCAACTAATTCCAGCCAAAAGAACGTGTGCACGTGTCATATGACCAGCGTGCAAAAAAAGAAGAAGAAAAAAAAGCATTCAAACAAGCCTAACATTCTTTTACTGTGACCCCCGCGCCCCCGCACTGATCTTTTCATGTCGAGCCATAAGCCGCTTAAGGTCCTTTTGCGTAACCAAGATCCATGATGAACTCACTCACAGTGATGCTAACAGCTAATACTAGCATGTTTGTTCTTGCACCAAGAGCTAAGACCACCAGGCCTATTTTGAGATGAAAAAAATATATATATAATAGCTGAATGGTTTATTTTGTCACATGTACCCGTTATTAACAGTTCTAACACGACACACATTTTTTTTTCAGGCTCAGGATTTACTCTAATCTTCTTGGATGAATAGCATCAATTACCTTGCATTGATCTAAAGATTAAATATTCATGAAATTACCTCCCAGTTCCCAAGCTCCAGTTGAAACTGAGTTCCCATATTAATGTACATTGCTGTAAATGAGGACCAAAACTGCACGAAAACATAATGACTTCTACCATATCCATAGTGAGGTTTATTTTACTTGACTCATTTAGTTTCTTAGGAAACTTAGGAAACTGTCATGAATCAATTCCGTACTGGAAACTGATTGTGTTGATGGACAACTTCATTTTACAGTATATAAAAAATTGGTTGGTGGAATACACTGTAGTTTATCATGCAGTATTACTCAGTTTGTAATTATCAGTACAACTCCAAACGATGCAGAGTTGTATACACTATTTAACATAAGTAAGCCAATAAGCTAATTTAGTTACATTTCCCCACATTCCCGTTGCTTGTCATTTTTTATAAGTGCGTTGGATCCCAAAAGTGCTACTGATCCTTCTTAACTGTAAATCACTACTTATGAACTGTAAAACCACTACAACCAATTTGGCCTGAATAGCAAAACAGTTTTTTTAACTCTACCCAATCTGATGTCAAAGACGAATATTTTAAATCAATGAATTACAATATTTAAAATCGACACAATGTATTCCATTAGTCAGGCTTTTGGAATGTTAAAAAAATGAGACCTGATGTGATCTATTAACTTGTACAATTCATTTGGAAAAAAAAATATCTATTGAGAAGCGTGAGTAAAAATGAACAACTGAGACAATGTAGTCGCACAAGTTTGTACATCCTCTTGTAACTTGTGTCAGACAGAATAAACAAATCACATGAAAAAAGTGACACTTTTAACCCTGCAATACAAATGGCAGTGAAATGAGTCAAGTGTTAGTGTCCTGCAAGTAAAACTGGAACCATATATGACAATAGAGCCTCACGAAATGGTGGAACACTTCCAATAAGGTCCAGCTTAGCTTCCTGACAATTTTTTTCCATCCAGCTCAGTCAAGTTGGTAGCTAGACAAAACAATCATCAGTGGTTCATATGACTAACAAAACCCCCCCAAAACCTACCAGAGAAATAACAACACCTCGTTATCGTTCCTTCCGCAATGCTGAAAAGGAAGCAAACAGGCAAGCGAGCTTTCCGTTTTGTTGGGAAACTCCAGCTTGTCCAACCGAACTTGAACATCTAGTGTACTTAGTGTGCTATATAAGAAACACACAAAAACTTCAAAAACTGAAGACAGAGATATTGTTCAGTCATTGCTCCTGAATTACTGAGACATCAGGCTGGTATGTGTCACTCCAGCAAGTATAGTCTTCCCAGTTTTGAATTTCAAGCCTTGGGGAATTCAAGTTAACAGAGGGAATTATGACCAGTTCCAAATACAATTCAGGGTTAGCAAAAAAATTGCCAGGAAAAGCCTTTTACACGTGGCATTTGAATCCATCACGACTACGTAAGACTTTTGACACTTGAACAAACACTTCATGAAGTCTACCATCACAATCTACAGATGAAATACCATGACATGAACTAAAATGACAAAACGAAATCACTAAACTCAATTAACAGTAGGTGCACATGATCCCACACCACTGCACACTATTCACAATAATAAACGCATTGTCAAATATAAACACAGGGTGCCCCGAAAGTCACGACACACTTCCTTGATGTTCGGCCATCATATCATTCCCTTACCGGTTTGCCAATTAACATTTGAGCAATGTTGCAAAATTGTCAAGTTGGAACTTGTCCGCCTTGCACACCCCCTCAAGTTCATTCCCTGCCAGAGAAATGAAATTCCATGTCCTGAGAGCTAGCTTCTGTAGACAGGGATCGTACCGCCAAGGCCTTTGGCCGCTGCCCAGCTCGCGAAGCACTCGACCCCTTTAGCCCCTCCCACAGGTTGTCAGCCCACGGGGAAGGGGCACCCACGTTGCCTCTTCGGGCTGAGCCGCACCGGGCCACCAGGCCACAAGCTGTCTCATTTTGGCCGGCTAAAATTAACTGTACGATACTGGTACCGGTACTTGGTGCAACACTCGTACGTGCAACTATAAATCAAATGCATTATCTGGTTGGAAGAGCTTCATTCGTTAACCACCATACCCATCATTTGATTTTTCATGCATACCTGTGCCTAATTGAAGAATTGAAGCTTGCAGCGCTTAAGTTCAATTCAGCCACATTTTAACTGTATCAACCTGAGTCTGTGCAGGCCAAGTAGTTCCACTGAAATCGAAAAAAATCATCAGATAAAGTAATGGGGCTTTTCCTGCAATTTTTCAAGGGTAATGTCAGTTGACAAAAAGCAACTTTAATCATTTTGACAAGGAGAAGTTAAGGACCCACCCTGGGCAGCACTCCAGCTCAGAGGATGCAATCCGGATACACACACTACACAGCAGCACCAGTTACTGCTTGTGAGACACACACACACACACACACACACACACACACACACACACACACACACACACACACACACACACACATCAAACTGACGCTAAAGTGAATTAAGTGAAACAAATAGAACACGTAATGACCCTCAGCTGGTCCTCATGTGGCTGCACTATGGCAAGATGTTTACACATTTTTTCGAGATTCTTGATTTCCCGCTTAAGCTCCGTCAACTCTACTAGTACGCTCGCTGTCCTCACTTGGAGGACAACTTTGGCGGACAAGTAGGAACTCTTATTTTTATGTTACAAGTGAGGCAAAAGTGTGAACCATTTGAAAACTGTTTGCTACTAGTGAGTGACATTATGAAATTCTACTACGGGTAGTTCACATAACATTAATGCTCAGTTTTGTCTGTAATTGTCCTACTAGTATGCCATAGTTGTCCTACTGATGTGGAGAAATGCCATTGTCGTTGGGGAAACACATTACTGGTAAGACACAGTAGTTCTACAAGCACGTTTGAGTCATTTTACTAGTGCTCTGAAATGTCTTACAAGTAAATGGACCTTAAGATGGATATCACAGTTAATGTATAATTCAGCAGTTATTTATTATCAACGATATTCAGCTTGAGTTATATGTACTAGTAACTGTACACTCTTCAGGTCAACTATGGAATACAAGGACAAATACATGTTACGAGTTGGACAAAACTGAACTGGTTAACAATGGTGTGCTACTAGTACTAATATTGACATGACAAAAGTTTACTAGTTAACATACTGTATGTGATTCATATGCACTACTAGTAGTGTGCAGATGTCAACTAGTGCAATTTTGGAGTAGTCATTCTCCTCGTGAGGCGAAACTGCACTAGTTCAGAATGTTGTGCTGGCACTAAAAGTAAGTGACATAAAATTTTACTAGTTAACATATAGTCTATCATAAGTAACAGTAGGGTGCAGTTGTCAACTAAAGAACACTTGTGCCACACTAATAACATGTAGTTGTCAAAGCTGTCCTACTAATATGGGCCAAGAGTGTACAAGAACATGGATCTAAAGCTGAATATCGAATAAATGCTCAATCGCTTTAGGTCCTTGATATCCTGCATAAGATGAAATGTCATTTATTACTGGAAGTCATTAGAGCAACAAACATGACTAGCTAGGACCCAGTCTTTCTACCTGTGGGCCCTGGTCGTTTTACTAGGGCTCTGAATTGTCTTACTAGTGAAGACAAAGACTGTGCTGGAACATGGACCTTAAGATGGATATAAAGGATATGATATCAAACAATTGAGCATCTATTCGATCAAGGATATTCGGCTAATAAGGTCCATGTACTGGTACGCCCACCGTGATCCCCAGTTACATTTTAAAATTCAATAAGGTCAACTACATGTTACTAGTGAGAGGCAAAACTAAGTGACTTTGTACAACTTATAGTGTGATAAAACTATACTAGACAAAAACTCGCGCTTCATACAAGTAGTGCCAGATGTCAACCAGTGCGCAGTCGCTGTCCTGCAAGTATGCTAAAGTTGCACAACTATTGTGCTGAACTGTCATACGGTCGTTGAGAAAGACTACAAGGTACCAGAGAGAAAAGTTGGAGCTAGCTGCAAACAGATGCTACTTGCTGACATTTCCTGAAAGCTGACTGATTTCACTCACCCCTTGTCGCTTGGAAGAATGAAAAACAAGCGCACCAGGTTTACAAAAAACAAACAAAAAAAAATGACTGACTCTTCCGAGGGTTAAGTGAATGTGTCTATCGCGTCACCTCTGAGCCATGGGATGTCATGGAGCCTGGTTAAGTGCAGCTACTTCATTTGCCAAAGCAAAATGCTACTGAGAAAGAAAAAGGAGCTCCTCCTCCCCGCCGGCTCCGACTTGTTAATTTCATCACAGTTTCACTTCGAGGAAACGTTTCTAAACATGCCCGGGGAACATCTATTGTTGTACAGAAGTTTGGTATTTGGTAACCTGTTGGTCTGGCGAAACGCCTACTCAAAATCCATTCCCGACGGAGACGGGCGAGGAGAACGTCAGCAATTATACTGAGCCGACACAAGTGATGTTTTAAGGACAGGTATTAACACAGTTCAAAACACAAATTCAAACCACAAAATGTGAACTTATTTTTTTTTTACTTTATTCAATACATTTTTAAAAACGTAAAATGTAAAATACAATCCTGGAGGGTCTGAACCGGGGTTACACAGATTTGTCACGGGGCTATTGCACCCCCTAGCCCCAGCGTCGTGCCGAATCGCAAGAGCCCCCAAATGTTTTTTTTCACTTCGAGATAGAGTGGGCGAAGTAAATTTTTGTCAAAGACATTCACTTAAAATAATGACATACATCGACACTTAAGCTAAAGCGCTACTCTGTGAGTTACGTGGGATGTTTTGCAGGAGGTGAAGACTGGTGCAACTCATTATGGAAAGAGGACTTGATCCAGTGCACTGATGCAGAAACTCTCAACTAGAGTGCGAGAGATATATCTTCAGGGTTGTGCCGGTAAACTATTTAATTTCCCTTCATTTGTCCAAAATTTGCTATTCAATATATATAATGACACACAGAACAATAGATTGTGTTGAAATTTGTTTGGTGATTAACCAGAGGCACCTCAGATGGTGTGTTCTGACTCCCATTTCACATGAGTTTGAATGTGACTTGAGTACAATGACATGACACACCCACCAGGGTGTGCACACCCATGTAAGCACACATCTCAATTGTTTTAGATGTACCTGTACAGTACTGTTACTGTAGCCCAGTGATGATCAAACTGTGGAACAAATACCACCAGTGGTACGCAGGCTGAAGTGATACGGTAATCACTTTTTAAAATTGCTGCTGTAAACTATGCAAAATTTGATCGTAGCTTAAGATTTTTAAAATGCAGTCCAATACGTTTGTTAAATAGAGTTTGTTTGTATTTAACATTTAATTAGATTTGCATCAGGGTTATACCCCTCCAAAAGCCATCACCTTTTCGTGGTGGGCGGGTTTGGGTGTCCCAGTTTTCTTTTTCTTTTTTTAAAGCATTTTCATTTCACAAAATATTTTTCAATTTTAGTTATTTTTCTATATTTAAGGCAATGTTCATATTTAGACTTCATAATGCCACTGTGTTTTAATTCTGGTCATTTTGTTGGTACTTGGTGATCGAAGTACTTTTTGAGGTGCTTGGTTTACCACATTTGAGGACCACTGCTGTAGCCTCTCCAAATATATTTATCACAACGTGTTCACAATGTATGCCACTAGAGGGAGCCAAATAAGTGTTGCTGCAGTAATCGTATGCAATAACTGCTAATTTGGTTATAATTACCACTATTGTTTGGGTAAAAATGATTGTCAGTGCAAGTGACTGACACAGATACACGACACACTACAAACACCAAAAAAAGGTTTTTATTTTTGCTTCATTTACGATCAAATGATATTGACGAACTGAGTATTGCTTTGCTGGTTTAGTCCATTGTTGCATTTTAGCCGGATGAGTTCTTTCCACTACTTCCATTCTCCTTTAGTGCCACATCCTGGTTCTGCGGCGTTGTGGTTTTTGGCACGACGTCATAATAAGGTCTGTAGATATAGAGACCACCAGCTACTCCAAGCAGTGTGGCAAAAGCCATCTGTGTGAAGGGTATTTTTTTACGAAGCATCCCCCTCCAGCCCCCAATTCACAAGTTCAGTGGTGAGAGCAGAAAGTGGTCCTGGAAGAAAGGAAGAATACAGTACTGTACGGTATAATGAAAACAAAACACTTTGACTGCAGATATCGCGAGACTTAGTTGGTTCGCGTTAGCATAATGGCTGGTAGGCTGCCAGTACTGTTTACCTCTGAGCTGTCTTGAGTTTTATGTTGATACAGTACCAATAATTTCGTGGCTATTTAAACTCACCGAGGAAACGTCGAAAGCGTGTTACTGTAAGGGAAATGGGAGGGAGAGAGAAATAGAAATTGAAAACACGACGTTAGAACGTCTTCAACGAGAAGGACGCCGAGGAGACGCGTTAGCATGACGCTCACTTCCTTATTCTCTGCTTTTGACTACAGCACAATATCCAACGAGTTAGACATGTTGACCCCTGCTGGACAAAAATGTACAATTTACCTCGTCATCTCGTCAAATAAGTCTAGTCAAAGAAAGGCGTATTTGTAATATATACTAAATGTACATTTCTGGTTGTATTTAGTTTAGGAATTTTTATTACAGTACTGTGCATTTAAAAATACATTTTTAATTTGAACATTTGAATCACAGCGGAAGTATGCGGAAGTGCCATTTCCGTCTTCCCGAAGAACCTGCCGAGCCATATCGAAGTACAGTACAGTACTGTACTCCTTTTCAAATCAGGACCCGTACACCAAGCCAGTTGGTGGCGGTAATTCACCACTAAATTGTTTGCCAACCGCCAAAAACAACAACAAAAAGAAAAAGAATGAACGAAGAAGTGCGCGTACTCGTGCACTTCTTGCATATGGATCACGCGCGCCAACCAAAGGTATGGCCTAACTTTGTTAAAAGAAATGACCGCATTCTTTAGTGGAAATTGGGCAAGCGGATTATATTGTGCAAACTAACAGGATTAAACACCTCAGGGTAGATGCATGGTGCAAAAGTAATCTTCACCACCAAACCCTGCGTGACTGCTGTCCAGAGGTCCGACGGAAACTGGGCAACCGTCAAAGGTGAGACCAGCCAACGCCCCGAGGAGGGCAACCCAGGACGCGATGACCGCCTCGGCCACCTCATTTTAGGTAAGACGATGACAGGGGAACCACCTCTGACCACCTAGTGATCCTGCCCACCACGGTGAGGAGGTGACTATACATGCGGGAGGGAGGTGGGCTGTCCTACCCCTCTCCGGCAATACAAACGGGGCTCAAAAGGTGTGTCGTTGTACCCTACCATGCTGGCATGCCATGCAAGAGTCTTTGAAACTTAGCTTGGAGCCGAGGTGTGCACATTTTGAGCATGACCGTCTCTGATCCACTGGTGAATGGACACTTTGATTCTCTCCTCTTTCATCTCAAACTGCTTTAAACCACAAAGCGTATGAGGGAAAAGTGGTTAGGACTGCACAACTGTCCGTGTTTTATGTGTTGTGTTTATTATTTTACCTTATGTTAACTGTTTTGTTAAGCGCTTTGTTACAGCCGCTGCTGTTGTAAAAGTGCTGTATAAATCAGCATGTATTGTATTGTAAGAGTCAGCTAATGTCCTGACGTGACTCTTGGGGCCTGACCAGACGCTCTTGGCCACCACCAGTTTCATGGAAACCTTCACACCTGGGTGGGAAAGGCCGTGGATTGTGTCCGAAACACGGTACAGCGAGCTACTAGGCAACATGGGAAGTCGTTCGCCAGTGGAGACACCACCTAGGAGTGTGGCGTTGGCGTCATCAAATGTGATGTCCTCCAAATGCTGTGCAGTGGCGGCCGTACCGAGGTTTTTGGAGGAGGGGAGGGAGGAAATGACTCGTGCGGTGGACACAGGCACTGGAGCTGACTTGTGTCTGCTCGTCAGAGTCATGATTGAAAAACATGTTTTGTTGTTTCTGTTATCGCGAATTTTCAGATTTGAAGCTCTTTGCAAACATAAAATCCCACTTATCAGGTATTAACTTTTTTTGAAAGATTGATTTTTTTAAGACTTTCCTTGAGTGCCAATTAAGGCCTTATTTTTAGATTTACTGACTCAATGCCTTTGAATACTTTTTAAGGATCCGCAGGAACCCATTACAAAATATAATCCATCATGTAGGCCAATGTAATAATAAAACGTAAGATGGTTTGGTCTTTTGGAGATGATTATAAAGTTGTCTCCTTTCTCTGTTGTGACATTTTAGACTCTTCAACGTTATGCTGGAGTTTGTGAATCTTTTTAATTTTTACATGTTTCCTTCACCAGACAGTTAGATGTATGTCTTCAGCATTCACACCAAAGGTTGCTTTAAACCACAAAGCGTATGAGGGAAAAGTGGTTAGGACTGCACAACTGTCCGTGTTTTATGTGTTGTGTTTATTATTTTACCTTATGTTAACTGTTTTGTTAAGCGCTTTGTTACAGCCGCTGCTGTTGTAAAAGTGCTGTATAAATCAGCATGTATTGTATTGTAAGAGTCAGCTAATGTCCTGACGTGACTCTTGGGGCCTGACCAGACGCTCTTGGCCACCACCAGTTTCATGGAAACCTTCACACCTGGGTGGGAAAGGCCGTGGATTGTGTCCGAAACACGGTACAGCGAGCTACTAGGCAACATGGGAAGTCGTTCGCCAGTGGAGACACCACCTAGGAGTGTGGCGTTGGCGTCATCAAATGTGATGTCCTCCAAATGCTGTGCAGTGGCGGCCGTACCGAGGTTTTTGGAGGAGGGGAGGGAGGAAATGACTCGTGCGGTGGACACAGGCACTGGAGCTGACTTGTGTCTGCTCGTCAGAGTCATGATTGAAAAACATGTTTTGTTGTTTCTGTTATCGCGAATTTTCAGATTTGAAGCTCTTTGCAAACATAAAATCCCACTTATCAGGTATTAACTTTTTTTGAAAGATTGATTTTTTTAAGACTTTCCTTGAGTGCCAATTAAGGCCTTATTTTTAGATTTACTGACTCAATGCCTTTGAATACTTTTTAAGGATCCGCAGGAACCCATTACAAAATATAATCCATCATGTAGGCCAATGTAATAATAAAACGTAAGATGGTTTGGTCTTTTGGAGATGATTATAAAGTTGTCTCCTTTCTCTGTTGTGACATTTTAGACTCTTCAACGTTATGCTGGAGTTTGTGAATCTTTTTAATTTTTACATGTTTCCTTCACCAGACAGTTAGATGTATGTCTTCAGCATTCACACCAAAGGTTGCTTCGACCAGACATGGAGACTTTCAGACAGCGTTTGAGGTTCGGGACAACCAAGGAGGATGTCAAACTCAGGAAAAGAAAATCACTACTGTACACAAAGGAAGTTAATGCTCCAATTAGGACAGGTGGGTTTCCTTGTTGGTGTATGATTGTTTACTTTAAAATAGTAATTCGTGACTAGTTTCTTTCCTCAAACAAAGAAAAAGTTATTTATTAGATTACCTGTAACTTGAAAACAACATGCGAGTACCGCCATTATTTTTAACACTGGTATCCCCAGCGTTGGTAATTGGTGTTTTTCACTCTACTGTAAAGTCATTCTTCTTTCTCTATACAGAAGTGATGCGAGTTGCAGCCTTTTCTGTGATTTTCCGTGTCGTCAACTGTTTCCTGGTTCAAAGCAGCTTTGTTCCAGATGAGTACTGGCAGTCTATGGAAGTAGCCCATCACATGGTCTTCAAATATCCTTTCAACTCGAATCATTTAGACACCATTCATGCATATTATATAGTGTTTGCATTTTCTATAGTGTTTGTCCTCATTAGGGTCAAGAGGTAGAGTATCTAACCCTGAACTGCTCCCCAGGCAATTGCTTTTACATCACCTAATCAAGTTTAAAAAAAAAAACCTTAACAGTGTGACTTATGGGCATCTGACATGGGAATGGAAGGAAGGCATAAGAGGCTTCACCTATCCTCTCTTCTTTGCTGTCATCTATAAAATACTACACTGGATAAACTGCGACTATGTGTATCTTCTGGAAAGTATTTTCTCTATATTCAGCCATGTTTGGGTCATATGTGGTTGTTTATTCAACCTGGTTGGTTTTCCCTGCAGATTTGGATTCCCCGACTACTTCAAGCACTCCTTAGTGCGTTTGCAGACGTAAAATTCTTCTTCCTCATGAGAACACTGGAAGATCGAAATATTGCAAAATGGACGGTAACTAGACTTTTTTTTTTCCTTCCCAGGTTTAATGTCAATTACGTTGGATGTTGACTGTATTCCCATGTTTGTGCAGTTCTTCTGCCATATGTGCTCATGGTTTACATGGTTCCTCTGCACCAGAACGCTAACTAACAGCGTGGAGGCCACCATCACTTGCCTGGCTCTGTCTTACTTTCCCCTTCCAGCATCTAAAACACACAGCAGGTCTCCTTGACGTGGTAAACCCCTCTCTCTCTCTATGTAAAGTCAATTCCCTGCTGACACCATGTTCATGTTTTATTTCCCCTTCAGCAAAAAATATTTGAGCCTCGTTGCCCTGGCGATCATTGTTCGCCCAACGGCCCTGATTGTCTGGCTTCCGCTGTTGGCTTACCATTTCTGGCAGTGCAAAAACAAACTGAGGCTATTCGTTCATGACTACATTCCCATAGGGTTCGTTGTATTTTATGTTCACAGCTTTATGTTTCAGATTTTGTTTGTTTGTTTGAATGTACCGGTAACAGCATTTTTTTTTTTTTTTTTCAGGGTTTCAGCCGTTGTGATTTCTACCACAATCGACTGTATCTTCTATGAAAAGGTGAAACATACATTGAACAATTCATTAGGTACTCCGACACAGTTGTATAACCATCATGTTAGGTGTTCCAACAATTGCGGATTCAAGAAATTAATATTTCGAAACTGTTTCCATATGAGCTTGAAAGGCGTGATTGTGCAATATGGGCAAAATATCATATCTCGGTATTTTTGCCAGGTATCTTTAACAATACAATAATGATGTTACTGAAGGTTCGTGGAAAGCAAGCATTTGAAAAACAAAAACCAAACAAACAAAAGAATGTGCAACGTGTAGGGGTTTTTTTTTATTTTTATTTTTTATGAGAACTTACTGTCAGATCTTAACATTAACAAAGTCAGCAAAAACTTACAATGAAAACATTCAAATTGTACTGCAGCTGTGCTTTAATGATTTGATTTTAAAAAATGCTGCAATTGAAGTATTTGTTGTGTTTGCGTGCGTGCGTGTGCAAACTGCATCGTGTGTGTTGTTCTATATCAATTTGTCCATGCACGACCCCAGTCAGTATAAGCAGAACCCAGCACAGTGTATGTGCAGTGGATTTCTGCCACTTACAGTGTCCTACAACTCAGTTAATCATGCTCCAATTGATTGGTGCCTGTTCTGAAAAAGAAACTGAGGCCAGTCCAAGCCTATCGAGGCCGGGGCAGAGCGGGGCCAAGCCTTTCTGTAACCTGTAATGGAAAAGCGCATTTAGTGCGAAAATTAGGTGAGAGCCTCATTTAGAGGAGCTTAGTCCTTTGCTGTTACCTTGTGGCATCTCTGCAATCATCGTGTCAATTTTGTTTTTTTTAGGTTTTCATTATTCATGGATGGGGTCAGTTCTTATGCACTGGGAAATAGTGTGGCTTTACTGGACTTTTTGTGCTATTTTTAGTGAATGGCGTAGATTTCTGTTTTAAAATGTGTGCCTTGTCTCACATTCTGGTCTCGAGTGTGAACTGCAAATGAAGGGATGTTTTGGGTTCATCAGTTGTTCTCTTTTGTGTAGTGGATCTTTGTGCAGTTCAACTTCTTGAAAATAAATGTCTTCCACAATGTGGCCGAGCTCTACGGCACCCATCCCTGGCACTGGTACCTCACTCAGGGCTTCCCAGTCGTAATTGGCCCCCATCTCCCGTTCTTTTTTCACGGATGCTTCCTGGCTTTCAGAAGGTACCGAGTCCTACTGGTGGCCATCACCTGGACCATTGGGGTATACAGGTAAAGCATCGTAATTCTATCTCACTTGTTCTCCGCTCATGTCTACTAATATTAATGTCTAGTCACCTCATGTCATGTTTAAATTCTTGTCAGTCTGCTTCCACACAAGGAGTTTAGATTCATCTACCCTGTGCTTCCCTTCTGTTTGATCTTCTGTGGTAAGTTCCTTTTACAACTGTATTAACAGCGTAAACTCACATAATCTTCTGCTATTAAAAAATAATAAGAAAAAATAAATCAAATGCCACTCGGACTGCGTTGCCATATTTTGCCCACCCTTGATTTATCCATACATTGTGTGTGCGTGTGTTAACAGGTGTATCGGTGGGTCATATGAGAATGTGGCGACGAGCAGCCGCATGTGGTTTGTTGGCAGTCAACCTGCTCATAGCCCTCTACACTGGGCTGATTCACCAGCGAGGCGCTCTGGACGTCATGAGCCACGTGCGCGCACTTTGCCACAACGTGTCAGAGCCGGACGTCCTCTTCCTCATGCCCTGCCACTCCACCCCTTACTACAGGTACCAACTGCGCCATAAGATATGGATACCTGTAACAAGATCTAAAATTTTCTATCCTCTTGCAGCCACATCCACTGCCCACTAAAGATGTCATTTCTCGAGTGCCCGCCTGATCTTGGCCAAGCGGGCCACGTGGACGAAGCGGACAGATTCTATGATGATCCACTTCTCTGGCTCCGGACATCATTTCCACACACGCAGTCACGTCCTTCCCACTTGGTTCTATTTGACGTTTTGGAGAAGGTAAAAGTGCTACCACATCCGTCAGAGTGGCTTATGGAAAGCTGTTTTAGCATTTCTTCAATATCCTTGATAGTCAACTTAAGGTCCAGGTACTAGAGCCTTTTTGGGATACTAAGGACATTGAATAAATGCTCAATTGGCATGAGGAGTGAGTTTAAAGGCAGACATGTTACTAAATGCTCATCCGTATTATGTTGTAGGAGATCTCCATATTTCTGCAGGACAATAACTACAAGAAAACAACAGACATATTTCACACTCATTTTCCCGAGGGAAGACTTGGAGGAAGAATCTTTATGTATGAAAAGCACTAACAACCATGGGAACCTCTTGGCAACAATGTCTGATATTAAAAAAAGGCTGGAGGTAACATCAAGTTCTGTAAAATCACCCTCCGCCCTCGATTACTGTTTATTAACCCAATTATTGTTGGGTTTCTGTAGTATGGTTCAGGGATTAATATAAATAAATAAATAGACCAGATCGGGTTATGGCCGCATTTGGAGATACACTCCGAGTGTGCACTGGTTTACACCGACCGTTTGAATACTCACTGCGTTATTGAAATGTGCTGTTCGGTTATTCACAGTGCACCAAAAAAGTGGCGGTGTACTCTCCAGGCGCTCTGACTGAGGACACGGTGCGCCATCGTGTCTCGTGGTCTGGAAACAGTTCAAGCACGAGCTGCTGACTGGTTTAGAACAGAGCCTGCATTCAGAAATTAATGGGAGGAGAATGTGCTCTGCATCTCTTTCCTATTGTTTTCCTTTCAATCTATGCTATCGGGGTGCTAAACAGTGAACCGCCAGGCCTCCCATCCTGTCTCCATCTGTTGGTCATTGTTTTCGTTATGTTTTTGTTATGTTTCTCTGGACAGGTTGTAATTGGGAATGTTAATTCCCTGTGTGTTTTACATACTTGGTCAATAAATAATTCTGATATTGTATATTATTATTATTATTATTATTATGAAAACCTGATGTGGTAGAGAAAACACGAGGGCAGCTTTAGAATCAGCACAAAAAAATCATATTTGAAGATTTACTTGCATCTCTAAATTTGTATTTTTGTTAATTACTTTTATCAGATCCCAGCTGTTTCTGTGACCACTGTGGGTTTTTCTTTTATTAACAGAGCGGTACCAACAATTTTGTCTATCTGTGTATCTACAATTCTGTTCCAGATATCCACAATAGGAAATTGCTGGGTGAATAATAGATATCTTTCATGACAAACCCCAAAAAAGCAAAGACCAAAAATATATTTCTCAGAAAAGTATTTTTTTTCACATGTATGTAATATTCTTCCAAAATAAATATACTACATGTATAATGTTTAAAACATTTATTATTAATTTATCTGTATATAAAGAAAATCGAATCATGCGTCAGAAATCGTTCTATGAATCAAATCTTTGCTTAACATGCCACAGTCCTAGTTTAACCCACAGTCCGTACCAGTAGGTGGCGGTAATAATCCATAATGTTATGTACCGACAATTAAATAAAAGAAGAATGAAAAGAGCCTAGGGAGAATGTGATTTGTGTTTGGAAGGAAAGGCCAGAAGGGCGCGAAGAGTGTGTAAAACAAGCGGCTACAAATAAACTCAATTGGACATAACAGTTGATCGTAAGGTACAGTGGAATGGAGATGAAGGCACTTGTGAAAATGAGATTTAGAGAAATTATGTGAAACAATGACCATATATTGAGATAATGGTTTGCACATTGTGGGTTAAGTGTTAACATATAGATTTTCTACAAAATGATTCAGGGAATAAGTATATTAGAATATAGTTTTTTATATCTCCGACAAACACAGCTGATAGAGATAATACACTGTCGTGATTATTTGAAGGTTCATTTAATACATACAGTATTAAGATATTGTGGTTCACACTCCTAACCGTTAGGTGGCGGAAATGTACCATCACGGTGTTTGCCAACCGCCAAATATTCAGAAGAAGAAAGAAGATGGTTGCAGCTGACAATTAAGGTTGGCTTGTGTCCGATTTGGGCGTTTTTACGGTTGATAGTAACTTTCTGTTTTGGTATTAAACATCCCTTGTCTTCTTTTCGGCGGCTGGAAAGTGGTCAGACGCGACGTTGCTCTCGACTGCAAAACAAAAGACGGTTGTGGCAGCGCAGCGGAAAAGTACGACCACTGTCCGAGAGTGAACGAGGAGGTGATGGACAATTTTTAACGTGGTGCATTGGGACGTTGGGTAGATTCCCTCCGTGTTTCAGATCACGGTTGACGCCCAAAACAGACAGTCGGGAAGAAGATCAACGCGCGAGGGATTGTAAACATAGATGGCAGCGCACATTGTTTCCAGCAGCATGTGAAGACACCGAAATACGGAGGTATCTTGACTGACGAGCCTCGTTCGGTGTTTTGCTTCGTGTCTTGAGACCACATTGGACGAACGCCACTACATCCGCCAAGTCAGATCTAGTTAATTCGTGTAGCCTTTAATAGAAAAAGAATCTCAAAGGGCGTCACCAGCCCATAGTGGACAAAGATTTGCGACATCAGCCTGATCTAAACCTCATTGATTCCGCTGAAGTGGTTACCTTACAGAAGAAGATCAGTTTTTTTTTTCTTTTGTGGAGTTACTCTGCCAATTGTTTTCCTAACCATGGATCCTGGGAAAAAAGTTATTCCTGCCAAGAAGAAGAAAAAGATGATGTCCATTCAATTAAAACATGAAATAATTGAAAAATATGAGCGCGGCGTACGCGTAGTCGACTTGGCGAGGCTGTACGACCGTAACACTTCAACGATATGTTCCATACTGAAGCAGAAGGAGTCGATAAAGGCTATAACACCAGCCATGGGTGTTAAAATAATTTCAAGGCTCCGCACTTCTGTCCATGAAAAGATGGAGAGGCTGCTGCTGGTGTGGTTAACGGAGAAGCAGCTCACGAGGTGTCCTTTGACGGAGGGTGCCATCTGCGAAAAAGCGCGGGCCATTTACACCGACTTGCTGCAGCAGACCCCAGGCTCTTCAACAGACGGCGCACCAGAAGACTCGTTTAAAGCCAGCCGGGGTTGGTACGACAATTTTAGGAGGAGGATCAGCTTTCCCTCCGATGTTGGGCATGTTGGCGCTGCGAGCTCCAGTGTGAACAAGGATTACCGCAAAACATTTACAGATGTGATAGCAGCCGAAGGATACGTCCCTCAGCAGGTCTTCAACTGTGACGAGACGGGCCTCTTCTGGAAAAGGATGCCAAGGAGAACTTTCATCACGATCGAGGAAATGAAGATGCCTGGTCACAAACCTATGAAAGATCGATTAACCCTCACACTGTGTGCCAATGCGAGTGGTGACTGCAAGATCAAGCCACTGCTCGTGTACCATTCGGAAAATCCCAGAGCCTTTAAATCGCACAAGATTATTAAAGAAAAACTGCAGGTAATGTGGAGGGCCAACCCCAGGGCGTGGGTCACCAGGCAGTTTTTTGTAGAGTGGGTCAACCTGGTCTTTGGTCCTGCTGTGAAAAAGTACCTCCAGGTAAAAAACCTCCCTCTGCAAGCCCTTCTTGTCTTGGACAATGGTCCCGCTCACCCACACAACCTCCAAGATGACATTCTTGAAGATTTTAAGTTTATAAAGGTTTTCTACCTTCCACCTGATTCCACCGCTCTGCTGCAGCCCATGGACCAGCAGGTGGTTTGTAACTTTAAGAAGCTCTTCACCAAGCACCTTTTTCGCCGCTGCTTTGAGGTGACACAAAGCTCAAATCTCACCATTCGAGAATTCTGGAAGGATCACTACAACATTGTGTCATGCCTCAAAATTATAGACATGGCCTGGCAGGGTGTTACAAAGAGGACTTTGATTTGTTCGTGGAAGAAGCTGTGGCCTGAGGTTGTGTCGGAAAGAGTCATGTTCGAACCTGACACTGCGGTGGTGGAAGAGATTGTGTCCCTTGGTAAATCCATGGGCCTGGAAGTGGACGAGGAAGATGTGAACCAGCTCGTCAAGGAGCACTCCCAGGAACTGACATCGGAGGAGTTGAAAGCGCAACAGACACAGCAGCACGCAAAGGTTTTGCAGGAAATTGATACTGCTGCTGAGCCGGAGATTGATGAAGTTATCTCTACGAGTGAGATCATGGAAATGTTGGGAATGTGGGAGAGACTTTCAAATTTTATTGAACGGAAACACCCGGAAAAAGTTGCAACTGGATGCGCGTCGTCGCTATTTAACGACACCTGCCTAGCTCATTTCCGAAACATTCTGAAGGAGCGGAAGAAACAACTGCTGAAACGGCCTGCAGGTGAAAGTGAGGAAAGCCTGATGAAAAAGCCCAAAACAGAAGATGATTAAGTAGAGTGCGCTAAAAAAATGGCGCTGTTATTTCAATACAGACTTGCACCTAAATATAAACCAGTTTGTTTCCCTACACTCTGTTTATAATATTTTGCCTTTGTACCATACAGTGTCATTTTTCTGTATTAGCTACGTAACAAAATATTGAGGTGGGTTTATGGTCTGCCAGGACAGTAAATCAGAACAAATGGAACTTGTAAGTCACAGTACCACTGCCAGAGGACACTCCAGTGCCATGAGGAAGCCTTCTCCTTCGTGTTGCTGCTTTGCCAAAAGAGATGCCGGTGGGGCTTGAGTTGTTACCCAACAGTGGTACTATGGATGTTGAACCAACCTAATGTTCTGCGCTCAGAGATTTATGCGATTCAATTTCTTGAATATTAATGTCGATGGAGTGGCTGAGGGATATACTGCACACTGGCACCTCCCTCCTGGCTCTGCCGTCGTGATTGGCCCCCTTCATCTCCTGCTCTTTTTCACGGATGCTCCCTCGATTGCAGAAGGTACCCAATCGCACTGGTGGCCATCGCCTGGACCATCGGCATGTTCGGGTGAATCATCAGAATTCTTTCTTACATTTCATCTACTTTAATTACTCCTTTTCACCTCCACCATGTTTGAATTCTTTCAGTTTACTTCATCACAAGGAGTTGACATTCATCTGCCTTGGGCTTCCCTTCTATTGATCTTCTGTGGTAAGATCCTTTTACAACTGTACAACAGCATGCAAATAATTACTTATATAACACAATTTTTTGATCATTTTAAAACGTATTTATTCAACTACCAAAACTCACTCTCAATATAACAAAAAACAACTTGAAAATCAATCCATAACAATAGATTAAAATAATGGCAATGAATAAAAATATGCTCCTTGTCCTCTTCGGGGCAGTGTGGTGCAGTGCATGCATGGAGATAGACATTAACATTCAGATAAAGAATTGGACAAAAAGGTCGTGATTGATTTTTATTAACATTACTCTTTTTATTGATATATTGGCAAAAATATATGCCTGTGACTCTTGCTATATTACCGGTCTTTTCAGTGTTAGTACAGCACTTGTATGTGAATGTTGGTTATTTTATATGACTCCTGAAACTCAATGCTAATTTCCTGCTAGCACACCAATTGGATTTCCCCATTCACTATTAGCATTCTGTCA